TGGGGACGTTAGAGTCTTAGTTTTCAAAATGTTAGGTGCATGTTCTCATATGATCATGAGAAAGTTTATGTAAGTGTACGGGAAAATTTGATAATAAAAATAGTATCACTATCTTTAAAATATATGCATAAGAATTCAATGAGGAACAGACTCACAGTTTGCTGTTTGGTGCAGCAGATCACGTCGAGGTTCTTAAGATATGTTCAGTTTATTGATTAGAGTCTCCAACGTTCATAGTCACTTTTCGGCCAAATCTCGTACAAATGTTATTTTCTATATGATGGTTTGATACAGTCTGTTTGGTTGGTATATAAACCAAGTATGTTTGAAATAAATGCTCCGTACAATTGGGAAAAGATATTGATGTCCTGAACTCAACTGGAACAGTTAGTCAGAGAAAAAAGACCAATAAGGAGTCTAGGATGCCCATACTGGTCGAACACAGTACTAAGATTGAATAAGTCGTATTTCGGTTGGTGAATAAATCATGTGATAACTAGCCAGGCTTAAAGACACAACAACTTTATAATACACAAGTGATTTTGTCTTAGGCATTAGTAATTTTCTCACAAAAATGACTAGATAATGGCAAGGTATAAATTACATGAGATGCAAAATATCATACAGAAATGTTGAACTCTGTCAACATTTATGTAGTAAAGATTGTTTTAACGATTTGATGCAGCGGATTTACGATAATGAATAGAACGCTAATAGACATGTGAATGCAATGACATTATGTGTCCGAGTGATGGCTATCCACAAAATCTTATTATCGACCAAAACACCTGAATGATTCAGAATCACAGACATGACCGCTAACCGACTGAATAGGTTGTTTTCTATGTAGTAGTGAAACATTTATATACAGAATATGTACACAAACTAAAAATAATAACATGTCGTACGGCTGAGTATTAGGTCTGTTAACTTTTCTACTTGATTAACGCCGAATACGGGTTACAACTACGACACTCGAACGTTAAAACTTCGCCGTCGCAAATTAGAAGACAGAAGGAAAGCTGGAGAAATGTTTAGTCTGTAAAAATCAGAAATGTACAGAAAATCACGGGTATTAACAGACATTAGCGTTTGTTAAACCAACATTATATTTCGGTCAATCTCCAGAGACATATTATAATGCTGACCAATAGTAGCATGCCACGTTGATATTCCAGAAAGCTCTGTCATGTTCTGATTGGTTAGAACTCTTAGGCTCCTTTAGGGCCTCTAGAGACTCCGTTGTAGTCCTCGGAAGCCGACTGAAAAAGATCTAATTCTGAACATCCTACAAAAATAATCGAATAATCTGTCAAAAGAATCTTAAGAAATTATTTCTATATTCAAAATAACCTTGTTAATTTAGACAAAAACTAATTGAAAAATTCTAGGTATAATTGGAAGTACACTTTTCATTTGTAAAGTTTATTGTCATTCTAATAAGTTAAAAATTGAATCATCAATGTTTAAATATACTACAATAAACTCAATTTTATTGTTTACCAAAACTGTATAACACTTAACATTGTATTGTAGTCTAAAGAGGAAAACAATCATTCGGTCTACTTAGTTACAATAGCTGTTTTAAGAAAGTCATACAAACAAAAATAAATTTAAAACAAAAAAAGAATTCCTTTAAAATGATTCACCACACTAATAATATATTTTTACCGAAAAACTACGTAGTTATATTGACATAATTAGGTTTCATAATGAGACATAGGGGATTTCATAGATTGAAATGATGAGTCAATTGAAGCTAGACCACTATGGAAAACCTGGAAGCCCTGGACGGCCGTTTCGTCCTAGTATGGGACACATCAGCAGTGCGAATCCACGATCCCGCACCCCGCAAGCTTCGAACCCAGGACCTATCAGTCTCACGCCAAGCGCTTAACCAGCTAGATCACTGAGCCGGCATCCAATAGTGTTAATGTCTACTCCAACCAATCCACGGAGTGCGGGATCGTGGGTGCGCACTGCTGAGGAGTCCCATACTAGGACGAAACGGCAACCCAGTGCTTCCAGGTTTCCCATGATGGTCTAGCATCAATTGACTCATGATTTCAATCTGTAAAATTTTTAAAATCTCCACGTACCCCTTCTGAACATAGGGGATTTACTAATAATGTCACTTGTCATTGCAAGTTATTTAAGTGAGATTATAATTTATTGATGAACTAATCAGGTATAAGATAATAGATCTTGGATTTCGGCGCGAAATTATTCATCTATTTAGTTAAAGAGCATTTAGGTATTATAGCTGATGTCAATTCGTGATGAAAATCATAAATCTAATTTCTAATCTTAATCATCAACTGGAAATCATAATTCGAATTCCTTACACAAATTTATAACCTTCATTTGATTCTGGTTATTAGTAGGAGAACAATCTTTAGGTCAGTCTATCGTCGCTCAAAGTTTGTCTATAAATTATAGTCTCACACTTTTTAGCCATATTTTTAAATATCTTAGCTGTGTGGGAGTGATAATATGATATTTAATGCAGATATGTTAAATGGACAGAATTGTATGTTCACTTCGGAATAAAGTATCTAACTGAACATGTGATTATCCAATGTATTACTTTAATTCTATTGGTTAAGTTGTGTTCATTTGTGAGTTTAACTAGAGTGAGTTATGGTTTGATCTTGTGGATCTACCTATTCGCTAAACATGTCAGTCAGTTAGCTACAACTTGTGAACAGGCACATATATTCGTCAGTCCAAGTTGCCACAGCTCATTAGCACAGCAAGATGAACACTGAATTCATAGAAGCAGTCACTTCAATGGTAATAATGTATAAAAGAAAGACTGTGTATAAGGATATAGTACAGAAAGAAAGACAGATATAAAGCGATTTCAATCTTAAAGTTTGAGGGAAGACAAGAAGTGTATATGTCTACACCATTGTGATCGATTCTGAGCCATGTCATCCAGAGTTTCCGACCATTGGTTCGATAGTCAAGAGGACCCCAACCAAGTAGACTACATCTGCCAGCATGACTTCTAGAACTGGTGTCACGTTTCGGTTTGACTGCCCCTAGCTTTCTTCCATTCATCTTCAACACTTGTCAGCATTGCGCATCGTGGTAATCGGTGTTAGGGCATGCGTAATACGCGGTCCAACCATCTCAGTCGATGAGGATCCACAACCTCATCAACTGATTTATCATCACTCCCTAATATCCTGCGTCTAACCTCACTATAACTTACCCAGTGATTCCAGCAGATGCGAACAGTGTTTCTAAGATGTCTGTCATCAAGTACTAGTAACTTTCGAGTATCTTCTACTCCTAATTGTCACGTTTTGCAGCCGTAAAGTAAAACAGAACGAACTGTTGAGCAGTATACTCGTCCCTTAATTGACAGACGGATATCTCGCCTTCGCCATAAGTGATGTAAGTTGGTAAAAGCCAAACGAGCTTTCTGAATCCGTGCTGAGATTTTATTAGACACTAACTTATTAGAGCTGATCAGACTTTCAAGATAAATGAAGTTGTCAACTTTCGTCCATCCGTCTCCGGCACTTGTCAGCATTACATGTAGTGATAAACGGTATTCAGGCATACCATATTGATCTAAAAATACTAGAGATACGCTGACTAATTGACATTTTGGACAGTTTTCGGTCATCGATTATAGTAATCATTTAAGTGGACAAAGTAAAATTCTTCAGACCTTTAATGAATTATGATAATATTAAGCATGAAACTTAGTTGATCATCTAAGAAATGTAAAATTACCTATTTCCCAAGTTAAACCAATGACTGATAAAAAAACTGGACATTATTTCATCCAGTGATACATTTCCTTCTTTTTTGTTTACTCGATAGCTCTTTAATTCCAGAAGGCTTTTTGTATGGATATTATAGTAATTCCAATAGATGGTGTTATATCCTAGTGAAGATTACATTACAAGTAACGACTGAAACCTATTAATGAACTAATATTATTTATATATTCTCATAGTATAAATATTCAGTAATTGGATTATGTATATCTATGTTCCCCTTGTTATAAGCTTTGTTTTGACCTATAATTTATTATTATACGATTTACTGTTCTTAAGTTATGTTCAGTTTATTAACGACTGCCTCCCACATTCACAGTCACTTTTCGGCTTTATTGTGTACAAATGTTATTTCTTATTTTATGGTGCATTGCGGTCTGTTTGGTTGATATATAAACCCAGTATGTCTGAAATAAATGATTCGATTCCCATAGTGGAAGCTGGTATTGGTGTTCTGGACTCAAGTGGACGGGCTAGGCGGATATAGGACCAATAAGGACGCTAGGCTGCTCATATCGGTCGAACGTCATTGGTTTGGCACAATGCTAAGATTGTATAAGTCGTATTTTGATTATTGGATGAATTACGTGATAAAAAGCCGGACATAAAGTCACAACAGTTGAGATCATGAGTCAGCTGAAGGTAGACCACTATGGAAAACATGGAAGCCATTGGACAACAGTTTCGTCCTATTGTCTAACTCCTCAGCAGTGCACATTCATGATCCCACCTCACAAGATTCGAATTTAGGATCTATCAGTCTAACGCATGAGAGGCTCTTTTTAATTCCTTGTCGATTTAATGATTACATCATCCATAGATTCATATGAAGAATATTTTTCGAATATTTTCTATTCTCTTATTGGTCAATTGACAATAATCTACTATAGAAAGAAAGTTATTCATTATTATTATTATTTCTATTTGAGTTAGTTTAGTTAAAGACAGATTTATCTATTTAATACATGTCCATACTACTTTTTAAACGGAATATTTAAGAGGAGAAAACAAATATAAATAAACGAACATATTTAATACTGAAATCATACCCATTTATGCTATTGGTGTATTGTGTTACTAATGGGAGAATATAAGCGTATACATACATAGTTACAAACAGACTATTGATTGGGAATGTATACTTTCCAAATTCTTTCATAATTTCTCAATTCAACTATTGAAAATGTACAATATAGAAGTTTCATAATGGATAAAGAGCATACGTTCTTATCATTTATATTAACAAATTGGAAATTCGGTAAGTTTAACTATGGTTTATGTATACATAAAATACTTTGTTTATATTTGAGTTGTTGTTTTTTGAAATAAATAAAGTTTTAAAAGAAAGATGATAAAATGGTTAGTAGTGGAATCTAGGACGCGTGTTTCGTTCCATTCGGGACTCATCAGCTGGGTATACATCCATCTAAGAATTGACATTCATTATGGAACGCGAACCTAGTACCGTTTGCTTCAAATGCTATCGCATTATCCACTTAGATACTGAGATGTTGATAGCCACTTGTTTGTTCAATGGGGTGGAGTGAAGTTGATAACGTGATGGTGTTTGAAGTAAACGGAATTGGGTTTGAGTTCTGGAGTGAACATCAACTCTAGGATGCAGGTACATCCAGTTGACGAGTCTCTAATAGAACGAAACGTGCGTCCTGGAACCCACTGCTAGCCAATACCCATCTTTACTTAGAATTCTTGTGAACTAAGGTAGTATCGAGGCAATACGCTTAGTATGCACATATTCCAATAAGAGACTGATGAATTGCAGTCCTAAACATCAATGGAAAATTCATGTAAACGATACTAAGTGATAATAAAGTTTTGTCCTGCTTTTTAAGGCACAAACAGTTTTATTGATCATGCGATAAGTCATTGACATTTTCTGATGGTATCCGGCCAGTAGATGTTGAGTATTTTGCGTGGACAACTATTTACATATACTTGTACTCTTTTGATGATGATTGTATTAGTTCTCTAAGTTTCAGTTCTGTATAGTGGAAGTGTCTTGGCGTTCGTATTGAGGATTGTGACTTTAATATTGGTTGAGAAGCAGTTGTTTTGAGTTCCATATGTTTATCAATTGTAGAAATGAGGTTCTTACTTTGCCGATCCTCGCATTTACGTCTGCATCGGATCCTCCTTGTTGATCGATCATGCTTCCCAGGTACGTGAAACTTTCCACCTCTTCCAGAGTTTCTCCATCAGGTGCAATTGCGTTAGTGTTCTCTGTGTTGTATTTGAAAATCTTACTTTTTGATTTGTGTATGTTGATGAAGAGGCTTCAGGCTACAGTGTTTGTCTTGACCTACATTTGTTGATGTGTATGGGATGGAAGAGTCAAGTCATCTACGAAGTCAAAATCTTCTAATTGCATCCGACCTTTCCATTTTAATCTGTGCTTCCCGTGAGATGCAGAGGTCTTCATAGTCCATTCAACCACCAGAATAAAAAGAAAAGGAAAGATTAGGCACTCTTGTCTGACTGCGGTCCTAACTCGGGATGCATCTGTCAGCTGTCCACCATGGACGACTTTGCACTTCAGTCTGTCGTTTAAATTCCGGATGATGTTGATGATTTTTTCAGGTACTCCATAATATCGAGGAAGTTTCCATAAATTCCTGCTATCCACACTGTCAAATGCATTCTCATAGTCAAGGAAGTTGATGCATAGTGATGAGTTCTATTCAAGTGATTGTTCAACGATTATCTGTAGTGTCGCGATTCGGTCTTTGCATGACTGATCCTCACAGAATCTGGTCTGTTGATCATGAAGTTGGGCATCTATCGAGTCTTTCATTTTATTCAGCAACTCTCTGTTGAAAACCTTTACTGGTACTGACAATAGTGTGACGCCTCTCTCTCTATATATATATATATATATATCCCAGGAGAATAATCTAAAAGCAAATCATGCCTACTACCAAGTAGATATTGAGCTATTGCACTATTGGAAGTATATTGGTTCCTTACTCACACTTCTGAGGAATTTACTAAAATATGCTTCGGTACGTACATATAAACTGGTGGACATAAATGTCGGTAACGTAAAGTAAGCATTTGTTCTCGTTGAATATGTCAACAACCGATTTATTCGATTAGAGAGAACTAATTTAAAGACTGAATAATTCAATTTTGATACAGCTAATAGTCTATAAACAATTCTCCCAACTATTTCAACCAAGTTTTTTCTCTATCTTATTATGCTTCATTCTATTCGTTCTTTTCTTTGTATATTTACTGATAAAGATTTCAGGATAACCATTATCTTTCAGATAATATTCAGTGTTGGCTATTTCTTCTTGAATGTCGATTGAAAAGCGTTCTAACTAAAGTATGCCCAACGACCGACTGCCTCGACGTGCTATGTTCAGTGGTATAGGAGTAGGTTGGAAGAAAGCTAGAGGCGGCCAAACCAAAACATGGCACAAGTCCATGAAGTCACTGACAAGTGGACTGAGTCATGTTGGTAGGTGTAGACTATCTGGTTGGGGACCACGAGATGATAGCAACCGATGGTTAGAGACCCTGAATGACATGGCTCAAAATCGTTTGCAATGGCTCAGGTGCATCCACTCTTTGTGTTCTCCCAAATTTTAATCTTCTGAATTCTTCATGTCCCTTTTTTCCTCTTTCCAAATTTATTTCACTTGATTATACTCTTTAAATAACATCTCCAAACCCTAATCTTCCCGATTACTGCTTATACTCTTGCTACCTCTACCACTACGGGATTTGAATCGACAACTGCATCTCTGTGCTAATGTGGTGTGGCAACTCGAACTGATGTACGTACGTACGAAGTTCTACGTTGTTACTGACTGACTGACTAACTAAAGTTTGTTTATTTCTTATCGGACAGAATCTATGGAAATTTAAACTAAGTTCTCACCGACTGTCCTTTTGATGGAAAAAGTGTTTGAATTCGACTAAAAATTAATTATCAGAATGGGTGGTTTGTGGAAATTTCAATAATTTTAATAGTTGAATTCACAAGTCGATCTAAGCTAGATCATTATCGAAAACCCGGGTTCGAGTCCTGCATACGGGATCATGAGTATGCACTGTTGAGTAGTCCCATACTAGAACGAAACGGTCATCCAGTGTTTCCAGGTTTTCAATGGTGGTCTAACATTAATCGATTCATGATCTCAAGCAAAACAAAATTAACATAAGTGTGTTTTCGAACTTATCGCTATGTATATTTATATAATAAATTTGTTGGTTTTAGATGTTTAACTCGGAAACTCAAAACTTTTGTATTTTGTCATTATTATTCTCTTATAAATAACTCTAAATCAGTAAAAGTTGTGCACCAAATAGTGGCTCCTAAAGACCTACAAACAAATATAGGCTCCAAATTATCCAGTGATATACAAAACGATTTGATTGGGTTAAACTGTGTAAATGACAAAACTATATTAGTATAGTTATTCCAATGTCTGATGCAGATGTAAAGGCACGGATCGGCAAAGCAAGAGCAGCAGATATACAACTGAAGAATATCTCCAACTCAAAACAACTGTTTTTCAATCAACACCAAAGTCAGAATTCTCAATACAACTGTCAAGATAGTTCGACTGTATGGGGTGGAAATTTGGACAACTACGAAAGCCATCATTCAGAAGAAACAGGTGTTTATTAACAGTTGTCTACGCAAAATACTTCGGATCCGTTGGCAACACACTACACTATCAGCAACAACCTACTATGGGAGAGAACAAAACAGATCCCAGAGGAAGAAGAAATCAGGAAGAGGAGCTCGAAGTGGATAGGACACACATTGAGGAAAGTACCCAACTGCATCACAAGGCATTCCCTCACCTGGAAACCTCAATGCGAAAGAAGGAAAGGAAGACCAACGAACACATTACATCGTGAAATGGAGACAGACATAGGAAAAATGAACTAAAATTGAATAGATCTGGAAAGGAAGGTCCAGGACAGAATGGGTTGGATAATGCTGGTCGGCAGTCTATGCTCCATTGGAGGTAACATGTGTAAGTAAGTAAGTATTCCAATATAGGAGATGTAATTGATTGTGTTACAGCAACGAAGCTTGTGAATCGATAACCTAATATAATTCAGCGATCAAGTGTAAAAAAAAAGATTAGTCTAAAGTACCCTCAACATATCGTGACTATTGACTTGTTATTTACATTGTTTCAATTAACTTCTTAACAGTAAACACATTTCAATCTTATTCTTTTCAGATGAAAATAACTTATATCATAAACGTAAAGATTTAATACATGAATTAAAATTAAATGTTAAAACATTAATGGAATATGCTTCAGTTTGTCGTTCAATTCCTGAAGATAGTACACATGTAATTAGTTTTTGTGGTAAGTTTGTTATGTCATTTAATTAGTTATATGAATTTAATTCATTCATTCAACCAGTTGTTACAAAGTGGGTCGTTTACTGAATCTTTCATTCAGTACAACAACATTATCTAAAACGTTTACCTCATACTGATAGTAGTATGATGCCTATATAGTTTTCATATATCTTGATATCATCTTTCGCTGGTATCTTGATGTAGTATCCTTCTTTCCAATCTGTTGATACTTGTTCTTCTTTTCAAATCTTTCTGAAGAGATTATGAAGCATCTTTATAGTTATTTCTATATCTGACTTTCATTGCTTCATTTATTATGTTGTCTGATCCTGCTATTGTATCATTCCATTTACATTTCATTCATTAATCAACTTTTTTTTTATTTAACAATAAAAAAGAGGATTATTTATTCTCTGACAAAAGAACAAATCAAATAGCAACATGCAAATATATGTTATCTTCATATTGTAAACACACTCTACCCAATCCTTAGCTTGTCTAAAATTATTTCTGATTGAAATCATGGACCGATTGATGTTAGAATGCCATTCAAGACCTTGAAGCACTGGACGACTGTTTCATCCTATTGTAGGACTCTTCAGCGGTGCTCATCCACGATCCCGCACCGAAGGGATTCAAACCCAGGGCCCTTAGTCGCTCATATGAACGCTTATCCTCTAAACCACTGAGCTGGCCGGTATCCAACGGTGTTGATTTTTAACTTCAACCAATCCTTGAAATCGCGCGACCATATTCCATTGTACTGAGGTAGATAACTGTCTCTACCCGACACGGATTGTTAAATCTTACTATTGGTACGTCTTAAATCAATTTTTAATCATGTTTATATTTGTCAAGTATTTTCTATATGACCAAAGAAAGATAGTGGCTAGCAGTGGAATCCAAGACGCGCGTTTCATTCTATTAGGAACTCATCAGCTGGAAGAACTAGATGGCCGTTTGGTCCTATTATGAAACTCTTCAGCAATGCTCATCCATGATCCGACCTTGTGAGATTCGAACCCAGGATTTATAATTGACTGAAAGCTACCCTAGTAACTGAGTAGTTGTGATGAGGTTCTTTCAGAAACATATACACTATGTAAAATATGAATGTTTGTAGGAATTGAAAAGTTGCACTAATTTGTTACTTACAAATCAACTAAATAACAGTTTCAGTATTTCACTTTACACTAATTATTATTATTATTATTATTATTAGCTTTATTCAATATTATATTTTTGGTACAATATAGAATTCTCAGCACAAGAGTATTTCAACAAGTTTCCTTTTCTTATTTCTTCATCTATCCTGACGATCACATATTGAGTGATCACCAGTTAGATGTTAACAGTTCATGAATCGACATCTGAAAAATGTTCATTCTTTTCAATGTATATTACCTGTCAACCACCATGATGTCACTGATTGTACCTTCATTTGCATAATGTCAATCAATTATCTTAGACTTCATTGTTCTTTTCTTTCCATATTAATCATTCTTTATTCTTGTTCTATATTCTTTGATCTTTTTAACCTTCTGCTACCAGATATTTCACTATCGATTGATCATATATACTACTTATATCTGTCGACATCAGTAACACACACCATAATAGTAAATCGAATATTGACACTTTATATTTAAATATAATAGAGAGAGCATAAGTTCATCTGGTAAATAGAATATCTGCCTTGTTTTTCAGAAAATTTTATGTTCAGTGGAAAAGTTTGCAAGTGTATCAGCTTTTCATGTTGTTTTTCAAAAATAATGTTAGCAAACTGTAAACAACTGTGATCTTAGTATTAAAAGCGTAAGTATACTTATTTGAGGTTACCTGTCGACGAATATCTGCATTATGAGATAGGGGTTTTGTGGATATTATATTAATTTTCTTAATAGATAAATTTATGAGTCAATTAAAACTGGACTACCATGGAAAATCTGAAAGCATTGGATGGCCGTTTCGTCCAAGTATGGGACTCCTCAGCAGTGTGCATCCAAGATCGCACTCGCAGAATTAGAACTCAAGACCTAGTGACTAACTTCAAAAGGTATTTCCTGGAGTTCCGGTGAGAAGCCGTGACCAGGGAAGTTCAACCGAGTCTAAAGTGAGATAGTAACTCACTGAAGACAATGGTGGTCGGTGACGCATTTTTGTAGATTGATTGAGGTTAGACATTAACACAGTTGAATGTCAACTCAGTGGTTAAGAGGTTAAGCATTTGCGCATGAGACCAATAGATCTTGGGTTCTAATCTTACAAGGCGAGATCTTGGTTGCGCACAGTTGAGGAGTCTCATATTTGAATGAAACAGCCGTCCAGTGCTTCCAGGTTTTCCATTGGTGGTCTAGCTTCAATTGACTCTTGAATTCATTTGTATGCTGGAATATCTACTTAATTTCATCAAAACTAATAACAAATTTTAAAATATAATAAAATATTGAATAGTTTTCTACATGAAAGGCTTTTCTAATCTACCCATAAATATACTTTATTATTTCTATGTAGCATTAGTTCATGGTTGTCTTCGAATTGGTTTAAAAACATCACCATTTCTATTCAATCAAACTATATCAACTTATGCTATATTACATAAAATTTCAAATCAATGTGATCCAGCTATGGAAATAATCAATAAATTTGAAAAACATTTCAATCCAATTGAAAATAATCATAGGAACAATTCACAATCTGATCACCATGACAACGACCACGACCACCAGCACCAGAACCAGCACCACCACCACCAACAACAACAATCAATAAAAAGAGAATATAAATCAAATTTAAAAAAACTTTTTCATTATTCAGAAAATAATAAAAATAAGTTTGATAAAGAAAATGATAAAAACTTTCTAGCTGGAAAGAAATTTTATTCAAAATTAAGGTAATTCTGATTGATTATAAAAGTAAATGAATAATATTATATAATATTCTATGCCGAAACTTAATTTTCAACCAGGTCTGTTGTGAGATAGTAACTCACTGAAGACAATGGGTGGATGTGTTGCTCACTTTCGTGGATTAGTTGAAGTTAGACATTAACACCGTTGGATACTGGCTCAGTGGTCTAGTGGTTAAGTGCTCGAGCGCGAAACCAGTAAGTCCTGGGTTCGAATCCGGCGTGGTTGCGGGGTCGTGGATGCGCACTGCTGAGGAGTCCCACAATAGAACGAGACGGCCGTCCAGTGCTTCCAAGTTTTCCACGGTGGTCTAGCTTCACCTGACTCATGATCTTTAACCATTGAAATTTACACAAGATTTAGCCAAAAGTGGCTGTGAATGAGGGAGGTAGTAATTAACAAACAGGGCATAACTCAAGAATGGCAAGTCGTATAATAATAGTTCCCAGGTCAAAATAAAGCTTATGATAAGAGAAACATGAATATGAATAGTTTAGTTACATAACAATTATATGATGCAAATATACGCATAGTATTGATCCATAAATGGATCCCCAAAGTTACCATTCATTATTCCTATCGAGATATAACAGATAATTTCAACAAAAAAAACCTAGAAATCTTATTTACATATTTCTATCCTTGATGACTATAATCTATCCTACTTGAATATTGAACAAAAACACTTGAAGAAAGACATGTTCAATTGACTTAGTAACTAAACCAAAAAAAAAACCCGAATAGATTGAAACTACTTAAAGAACATATAATTGAAGTTGTTGTTAGGTAAATCTACTAAACAATGTCTACATATTTCATTTACCTTTCTTTACAGAACTAATCATAACAATTCAAATATTGAATGGATTCATTTTGCACTTGTAGAGAAACTACTTGAACCCATTGTACAACATATATGTTCAAGAGCAAAGTAATAGAATATGATTATTTTGATTGTATATTGGTCATTTATGAGTGTTTGAATATTTATGTTTCTGATCTTAAGTACTTAATTTCTCAATTAGTCTGTTCTGAAATGTCTATATCTCAAGTGGATTGTTTTAGTATTACCATCAAATCATAAGTATTTTTAAGTAATGATGGATAATACTTAGGATTGTAATCCAGGATGCGAGTTTTATCCTGGCTTACGTATTTACACTATAGTGTCGAAGAAGGTCCTATGAGATTCTTCTATCCATGCTGTCTAACTCTTATAGTCAAAGGACTTTATGTATAGTGACGTGTTCCATTCAAGTGATTGCTCAATAATGATCCGTAGTATCGCTTTTCAGTATGTGTACGACCAATCCTTACAGAATCCAGGCTGTTAATCTGCGATCTTGTCTGGGGTTCATCATGTAGATGTACTTGTATCTCAACGTTAATATGTATACAATGGCTCAAACCTATTACCTTTTAATCCGAACGCTTATTATATTGTCGAATGAGCTACTCAATGGATTAATGACAGTATTGAGACAGAACGTTCAATAAAGAAGTATACCAGATGGGACAGATCAAAGTTCTATCCTTATTATCAACAACTGGAAGATTTAAACAATTATAATTGACTAACGAAATTCATCCCCATTGCACAAGCTATGTTGATTACAGGATTCTAATGCTGGGTGAAAAACGCGTTCATTATTTGAAGCAAAGTGTAATGGGTTTGAATCTCAATGTGAACATAAACAAGCGACTGAGAATGATATAATATTCGTAGCATCTCAATGAATAGAAAATATCAATCTCGGTCACTTCGCAACATACAGTAAGTCACCTATAGAAACTGATACACTTGATCACATTGTAAATGTTATGTGCACGTATATCAATTCATATATGCATGCTTGTGATGGATGGGGTCCGAGATCTGACACTGAAACACAACGTTCCACGCTACAACCACCCCCCAGATGACTACTTGAGCAAAAAGATGCGAGTAAAAAAGGAAGGCCATACTTAAACATGTATATATATATACCCCTTAGCTAATGATATGAATTTGTCCTTTGGTTCATTTCTGTTCATCAAGTTATACTACTATCTCTAATTTGAAATATCATACTAGAAATAAAGATTGATAAGTCCTGAGTTCAAATCCCGCGTGATGGGATGGTGGATGCGCACTGCTTAGGAGTCCCATACTAGGGTGAAACGGCTATTCAGTGATTCCATGGTTCCCATGGTGGTCTAGCTTCAACTGACTCATGAATTCAATTATTAAGCAAAGATTTATTTTATAAAATATCATCCATTCATTATGTATATATATACAGAATTTCTTTTCCATTGTAGAGAATTTTACAGTTCTGATAGCATTGTGGCTAATCAATGTGATGTGAATGTATTCTTATCTTTGATTAGTAAGTTCAATAAGTCTTTTTCAATGTATAATCAATGTTTTATTTATAAGGGGTAATCATGAAATTTGAATATTTTTTAATCTTGATATACGAAACGGAAATTATGAACCTGTCCCCAAACGTCCTGGTAAAACCGAGGATAGGGAGAGTCAGCTCTCCCTCTCGAAATGCTCTCATATAGCCACGTGTATACAGCCACTTCCAGGGAAGTCTTACTCATTGCATTTTCGCAGCCGCAGCGTTGCTTACGAAATTAAGAGGACGAAAAGCAAATTTCCGGCGCATTAACCGGGTTGGTGGACATGGAGGATCCACCGAGGTGAGTTGAAAGCCCTGATTCCAAACCAATTGTACACATGAGCTCCAGTTTCCTGAAGGAAAAAATGACGTATAAACAATTTATTGGTCACTGGCTACCATGGGATTGCATCTCCTGACGTTGCTCCACTGCCTTGTGGATTACAACTTTAGGTCAAAGGCTCGTGAGATGGCCCCCTAAGAAAACCACCTGCTTCTTTATGGGCACTCGGGAGGTATCACAGCCCACATACAAATCAAGTGACTTGTATGGAGCATATGTATTCGGTGCCCCTTTGTACCAATATTTATGTATTTACATTTAAAAAAAAATTATAATAAATTAAAGCGACTCTTTTCGCAATATTTTCTGTGTGTGTCAATCAGTCAATAAGTCAGGGAAACAGTAGAACCTTGTGTTAATTTACATTGGTTCAAGTCTCCGCACCGCTTTAGCATTGTGTGATGAAACTGTCAAGAAAAATCTCAGATTAATAAAGGTAGTAACAGTAACAATGAAAGAAAAAATATTAGGCATTTAAGAAAACATAAATTAATGGAATGAGAAAAGATATTCAGGTACTGAAGAGTTTAGGATCTTAGGAAAGACAAAGAGTGAATCTCCATACACCATCGTGAACAATTTCGAGCACTTTTTTTCAGAGTTTCTATTGGTTGGTTATGATAATCATATGAATCTCAACCAGGTTGTTCAAACCTACCTACGTGTCCTAACCCAATGGTTAGTGTCTTCATGGACAGATATCATGTTTTGGTTCGGCTACCTCTAGCTCTGAGTATTCTAAATTAAAAAGAAAATCTCCTGACTAGAGATTGACTACTGAGATATCAGACGGTGAGATTGTTATCTCCAAAAGAATGTTTATACTAAATTTAAACAAAAATTAACCAGGCGGATAACGCTGATGAACATCACTTGAAGTGATCGATTCCAATGACAGTTAGAGATAGTTTCTACATCGACCTGTGGTGTTCGAGTAGAAAGCCTGTTTTAAGGTTAATGCACTTCTCTAGTGCACCTTACAATGACAGATATTGCCGTAAAACATGTCGAACGACATTGCTTAACTCTGCCTTAAAGCCGACAAATACAACTACGGTTGGGAAGCGGTGAGAATATCCGTGTTCTTAAACCTGCCGAAGGGTGAATATTTGGTATCTACATTCACATCCATTTCCGAAATCAGCCTGGTTTTCCCGAGTTTTCTTTTCATAAGTCCAAATAAGGCAATGTTTGATTAATGCAGATACTATTTAGGACACCATGCTAATGAAATCGATCCCTCGTGCTTATCATAAGATAATTTTTGTCCTTTATTATAGACCAGGCCGATCAACGATCAAGACCAGTGAAATAGGGTTTCATTCAGTCCCTAAACCTAAGCGAATACCTCCGTCGACATGACTGGCAAGACTGAGCCATTAACATCGAAAATTCGTCGGGTATTTTTTATCAGAGCCTGTGGCACTTCCTCGATGCAGATCAGCCACGAAGTTTTCCACCACCATGGGAATTAGGGAGCTCATATTTTTATTATATTTAGGTTGCTTAGTAAAAGTTGAAAACCAAAGGGTAACTTAAAAGCAATAAACTGCTCGCCAGATTCTTATACCAACTAAATCAGTTTCCTAGGTTGAAAGTGTATCATCTTTTCATTTTTTCTACAATAATCTCATTATCTTTCGAAGTTTTGATACCTGATTCCTTGATATGCCTGAAAAGTTGTTTGCTGTTGCTTATTACTTCCACACTTTCCATTTCTTGTGCTTTCGTTGGGCATTTCTGCTCATGGTCATTTTGTAGATATTTTTCAGACTGTGTTTCAGTTGCCTTCGATCCGCAAAGTGTACGTAGCCTAATAGGAAGAGCTTCCAAGCGTTTATAAGTTTAGTAGACTCTGTCAAAATCCGTCGACTTTTCTTAAACTTTTGGTTACAGTTATTCGTGAATATCAGTGCTGTTTTCTTGGCTGCTTGAATATCGTGCCGAGTCACCTCGGGATGAACATTACTGATTATTTAGTTGTTCCTGAGATAAATATAGCGTCAAATGTTATGTTAAGCCCACACATAAAGCATTTTTTATTCTTACTTCCCCGCTTAGTTAGACAGCGTGGAAGTTACTGTCTATTCGGATCTACTCTATAACGGCTTTTGATCTTGGTGTTACATCTGCATCAGCGAGCTGGCAGTCAAATCTCCAGATATATAGAGAGTAAATCGCGCCGATTCTCTGTATTCACTACATGACGTCAAGTAAATGACTCACTTGGATCCTGTGTACGTGTCTTGAAGATAGTCTACATCGATAGCACAGGATTTCGGCGTGCTACCTAGAGAAGTCTGTTGATCTGAACACTGAAAGCTTCATTAAGTAGTTTAAAGTGCGGTTTCACGAGACTTGAATAATTAACAATGTTAATGCATGGGGAAAAGTTATGGAAGAAGAACTGATGGTGAAAACGGAAGGGATGTTAACAGTCGACTAAGGGATTCCATCGTGTACAAGAGGATCAGTGGTAGTGTTAGGGGTATGATGACTGTTTCCATTTCCCGATTCCTGTTTGATGTATAAATTCCTATATAAATGCTTTCAATATATACAAATTATAGTCTAGGAAGAGACTATGTCTGTTAGTGTAAAGCTTTTATTTGAACTTTTAAATAATCAGCTTCTTGATAGATCAATATATATAACTAGGCATGAGAAATCATTATATAGAGGAAAATAGTTTAAATACTACTGAAACGATGGCCTCAAAGTTCGAGTAGGGTGTTAATTGCAATGAGTTTATCGTTTTGTACTTCATAAAACAATTTCAGGAAGAGTGAAATAAAATTAGTAGCAAAAACTCAGCAATTATTCTTCTGCAGATTTGACAATTTCACTGTTTATAACTACATATGATAATCAAGGCATAGTTGAATGTATAGTGAAATAATATTTACCATTAGCTTTCAGAATACACTTTGCTATTAAGATAGTGGTTGGAGGTAGTCGACAAGAAACCCTGGACCTAGGTTTTGTACTACTTGGCACTCATCAGCAAGGTGTACCTGTAAACTTGAATCAACTGATGCTCCCTGATGGACTCGATCTCATGTCACCCAGCTTCACAGTCAGAAAAGTTACCACTGGGATATCTGGGCCAAGACTGGCCTATACGACTGAGATGTATTTGAAATCAATTAATCACTGGGTGGTGGTCACCACCATCTTATCTCAACATAGTGCACGTAATGTCGAATCCCCTAGACTATTGGCCACATTGCAACATGGTCGATAGGATTTGATCTGCACTTAGAAGGACCGGACACACATGACATTGATCATCATCCAGTGATCGATCGATTGTAAACATTTTTTTAATGAATACGAACTTTCATCTAAATTTGATCGAATAGTTTTACAGTATTTGGGCGCCGAGTTGATGTGAGACATTAAAGTGAAAGAATGTATTTGTAAAATCTCAGCGAAAGATTTTGAATTTTCGCCTGGCATGGAAATATTTCCTTGAAAAAGCCTAGACCAGATTGTCAGACGAAACGTTGGTATGAGCAGCCTAGCCGTCTTATTGGTTTTTTTCCCGTGACTAGCCCTTCTAGTTAAGTTCGAAACACCAGTAACAGCTTCCAATATGCGAATCATGTATTTCAAATATACTTGATTTATATACCATCCAAATAGACTGCATCAAACCATCAAATAGAAAATAAAATTTGATTAAGATCAAGTCAAAAAGTGGCTGTGAACGTGAGAGCATCGAATCACCTATTTAGCCGGTTAACGGTCACGCCTATGATTCAGAGTCATTCAGGTGTTTTGGTCGATAATAAGGTTTTGTGGATAGCCATCACTCGGACACATAATGTCATTGCATTCACATGTCTATTAGCGTTCTATTCATTATCGTAAATCCGCTGCATCAAATCGTTAAAACAATCTTTACTACATAAATGTTGACAGAGTTCAACATTTCTGTATGATATTTTGCATCTCATGTAATTTATACCTTGCCATTATCTAGTCATTTTTGTGAGAAAATTACTAATGCCGAAGACAAAATCACTTGTGTATTATAAAGTTGTTGTGCCTTTAAATCCGACTAGTTATCACATGATTTATTCACCAACCGAAATACGACTTATTCAATCTTCGTACTGTGTTCGACCAGTATGGACATCCTAGACTCCTTATTGATCTCTTTTCTCTGACTAACTGTTCCAGTTGAGTTCAGAACATCAATACCTGCTCCCATTGTACGAAGCATTTATTTCAAACATACTTGGTTTATATACCAGCCAAATAGACTGCATCAAACCATCATATAGAAAATAACACTTGTACAAGATCTAGCCGAAAAGTGACTATGAACGTGGGAGACTCTAATCAATAAACTGAACATGAATTAACAACAGTAAATCATATAATAAGATTGTATAAGTCAAAATGAAGCTTATAACAAGAATATGGATATAGACGGTCTAGTTACTAAACGATTATACATTAGGAATATATCATTGATTGAAATCATGAGTTAATTGAAGCTAGACCACCATGGAAAACATGGAAGCACTGGATGGCCGTTTCGTCCTGCCGTGGGACTCCTCAGCCGTGCGCATCCACGATCCCACACCCCGTGAGATTCAACTGACTCATGATTTCAATCAGTGAAACTTCCAAAATCTCCACAAAACCCCTTCTGACAATAGGAATATCTATCTAATATCCATCCATTAATTGTTCACAGAAGTTACCTGTAATTTAATCTTTACTAGGATATAACACCTACTGTACAACAAGTGTAATGAAACTAGTCACAATTGATTGATCACTGGGTGGTGATCAATGTCATGTGTGTCAAGTCCTTATTTAGTGCAGATCGAATCCTATCGAGTCACCTAGACTGGTGGCCGCTTTACAACATGGTCGATAGCATTCGATCTGCACTAAATAAGGACTTGACACACATGACAATGATCACTACCAAGTGATCAATCAATTGTGATTACATCTCAGTCCTACAGGAGGTCGGTTGCGGCTCGGATAGCTCAGTGGTAACGTCTCTGACTGTGAAGCTGGGTGACACGAGATTGAATACGCTACGGAGCACCAGTTCTCTCACCTTGCTGACGAGTGACAAGTAGCACGAAACCCGGGTCCAGGGTTTCCTGTCGACTACCTTCAACCACCATTTAATGAAAGTAAATTAGTACCCGAATGTAGTCCATCTACTACTGTAATAATGATTAATGAATATTTCACACATATCTGATTATCATTATTATTCATTTAGGAGGTCCATGTGCAATTAATTATTCATCAGGTATTCATGAAGATTCATATTGGTTAAATTTACATGCAAATGAATTAATTGAAAGGCAAAGATTCACTTCAATTACAAATCAAAATAAAACTATTTATAGTCCATTAAAAGCTTCACAAAAAACAAAATCATCTGTAAGTATTTATTTCTAAAATAAACTTCTAATTATATCAGTTTATATATTTACTTACCTAATTACACATGTTGCACTTCGTTGAAGAGTATAAGTTACCAGCCAGCACTCTCTATTCAACCATGTCTTTGGCAATCCTTTTCATGTCTACTTCCGATTCCCAACTTAGTGTGTTCTTTGGCCTTCCTCTTTGCCGTTTGCCTTCAGGATTCCAAGTTAGAGTTTGCCTTGTGATACAGTTTGATGATTTCCACAATGTATGATATCCACTTTCAACGTCTTTTACTAATTTTTTCTTCAGCTGGAAGCTGGTTTGTTCTCTCCAACAGTAGGTTGTTGATGATGGTATATGACAAACGGATAGTGAGTATTTTGCGTTGACAACTATTTATAAATACTTATACCAGAAGGGTTTTTGTGACTGTTATGGTAATTTCAATCGTTGAAATCATGGGGACCTATCTCGCGCGCGAAACTGATAGGTTCTAAGTTCGAATCTTGCGAGGCAAGATTGTGGATACACACTTCTGAGGAGTCCCACAATAGGACGAAACGGCCATCCAGTGCTTCCAGGTTTTCCATTGATGGTCTAGCTTCAATTGACTCATAATCTCAACCATTGAAAATACTTGTACTCTTTTGATGATGATTGTATTAGTTCTCCAAGTTTCAGCTACGTACAGTATAACTGTTTTGACATTCGTATTGAAGATTCGCACTTTGATATTGATTGAGAGATAGTTGTTTTGAGTTCCATTAGAAATTTAACTGTAGGAATTCTGTTCTTGCTTTACCAATCCTCACATTTACGTCTGCATCGGATCCTCCTTGTTCATCGATTATGCTTCCTACTTACGTGAAAGATTTCACATCTTCCAGAGTTTCTTCATTAAGTGTGATTGGGTTGATTTCGGTACATATTTAATGCACAATCAGTCATACATCTATTAAATTAATTTTTACTGAACTGTATCGTATTAATTTGTAGTCTGAAATTATTAACCTGATATATGTATATACGTTGAATCATTTATTAAGTGGAACTCATTCAATTTGAATGACTTTTCAGTTGTACTTATACATATTGTAATGAACAAGAACGCAATCGGAGATATTACAGAATGTCTTGGTAAAATCTGAGAACCATACAGCAATTAGTTCATTTGAAAAAAGTCTATCAGGCTTTATTGTTCTTTCGTTTCTATACCAATCACTCTCTGTTCTCGTTCTCTTCCCTTCGATTTTCTCAACCTTCTGCGGTCAGGTATTCCATTTTCGGTTGATGTTAGATACTGCTTATATCTGTTGACATAAGTAGCACACATCACATATTACTTTGCTTACGATTGTAGTAAATAATAGTACAAAGTTGACCTTTTGAACCTTACCTTATAAGAGAAATACAGAAATACATTTTTTAATTTCCTTTTATGAAACTGGTTTCAGATGGTCATCTTGTAGTGTCGGTTACTATGTTAAGTCCACATAGCTTATTCTAGCTTCCGGACAGGTCAATTTAATCATTCTTCTTTAGTCACATTTTGACCTTGTGTTATGTTCACTATTTGATTAGCGCAAAACACGGTATAGCACTGCGATACTAGAATGTATAGAACCCTATAGTCGCAAATCAGAAAACAGACGAGTGCTGGAGAAGTGTTTATTGGTTAAGAATCGAAATGTACAGAAAATCATGTGTATTTAAAAATATTAGCGTTTGTTATATCAACGTTATAATTCAGTCAATCCGCAAAAGGGATGTTATGCTAATGTCCAATCGTAGTATCTCACGTTGATCAAGAAAGTTATATCATGTTCTGACTGAATCGAAACTGTTAGGTTCCTTTACGGCCTCTGGTGGCTCCACCATAATTCTTGGAAGCCGTTCCAACACCTTGTCTATTATTCGCTTATCTACCTTGGTTGTTTTTATATGAGCGTATGTGTGTACAGATCTTATCCTATTCGTCACATATCTATAGCCAATTTTTGTCTGATTATAAGTATCGAATCATGTTTGGTTAAATTGAGTAGGTTCACATGCCTTCTCCACTGCGTGTCATGCCGTTTCGCTCCTCTCTCTCTCTCCTATTCGTTTCTTTCTCTCCGTCTCCCCGACTGTTTGGCTGGATCAATGATTGTACGCAATAAACGTATTCAAAATTTCATTCTCGTATTTGACTTCTTTAATTCCGTTATGCACTAACGAGATTTAATTCGAAAATTATATATGAAAATTTTGATGGAGTTTTGTTCTATGAGCTGTATGGTTTGGTCGTGGAGCTTTCATCGTTCATTTGAACGACATCATTAGCGCAAAACTCAAGTAGAAGTGAAGTGTTCGAATTTCACCACATGTAGTTCACAGCTTGTCCTGTACACCTAGATGTTGATTGGTGCGCTTTGTATGAAGCGGATGCCCTCTTCATATTCGCCTGAATGAACATCAGTTAGCAGTCAAATGCCATGACATGTCCTCACTTATATCAATACACGTGGACAAGTGCGATCACTTATTTGACTGGAAAAATGTGGAAATCTTGAATAGAGGAAATTCCAAAAACACCAGAGAATTTTTAGAAGCTTAGCACTCAGGTCAATCAACAAGCACATTGAAATCGCCCCAATTTATTAAGCAATCAGGAATATTATGCACAAACATAAGAACAAAAATCAAACCAATGATTTATACAACCAAAATAAAGAACTTAATAATGACATGTTTAAGGTCAACAAGAACCAACCAACGCCCAGGTTTACAAGACAAGCTGTGAACCACATATGAAGATATTCGTACACTTCACTCCTACTTGACGTTTGTGCTACTGATGAAGTCGTTCAGAAGAACGATGAAAGCTCCACGACCAAACTATCCAGCTCAAAGAACAAAACTCAATCAAAATCATCGACCTGAGTTACAAATTTTCTCCACCATCTCAATATATGAGAATAACCAATCTGTGTATTTCAATAACGATCAACAGTACAATCCAGTTGAAGTTAGATATAGAGCCACTAAATACTGTATATCAATCCGATAACTGTTATAACTTGTAGCCTGTGTGCCCTATTAATGTATAACGTAATGATACCGCCAATTAAAGAACAGTGAATTATCGATCGGACCAGTAACGTATAAAACACGTACGAGCAGTTTATATTCTGATTGGCCCTGCTTTCCGCCTAGCCCAGCCAGTTATGTCCAGAACGCCAGTTCCAGCCTCTGCAATAAGAATCATTATATTTCAAACATACTCTGTTTATATACCAATCAAGCAGACCACAACGTACCTGTAGCGTGGCGTCGAGTTGGGATTAACTATGAACACCGCTACAAAGAAACACGTGCCAAATAAATCAGAAAGCGTAGGTTGAACGTAACCAAATAAATCCATAAAATCCCCGAGAAGCCAAATATCAGAAGACAGTTAATGGACCAAATCGAGATATATTCGCTGGCGATCTCGTGGTATCGAAAGGATACCGAGATCGTGCCAGGATACAGGCTTGGTTACAGAACGTAACCGAATTCGCGCGAAGTTACAATCAAAGTGTGTGAGATAGAATGGAAGCACAAAATAGCTGTCATTAGCACAGTCAAACAAAAGCACATTGAAACAAACACTGGTACAGTTGGTTATAATAATAATTGTTTTTATTAAACCAGTCGTGTTCTCGTGATAAATGTGAGTCACTACATACCAATAAAATATGAAACAACATTTTTATAAGAATTACCCAGATGTGGCTGCGAATGAGGGAGTTAGTAATTAGTATACTGGGTATAACTCAACAATGGTAAATCGTATAATAATAGTTCACAGGTCAAAATAAAGCTCATCATACAAGGAAAATGAATATGAATAGTTTAATTATTTAACAATTACACACTAAACCGTATACGTATAATATTCGTTCATAAATGGATACTCAACGTTACCATTCATTATACTTATCGGGACTGAAATTCTTCATTTTCAACATTTACTTACTATTTAACTGAAGTTGTGTAACATTTTCCTATAAAATTAAAATTTTCTTTTTTTTCCAATTTACAGATAGTTCACATGGCAACTATTGATGATGATAATAAAAATAAAAAAATTGATAAAACATTCAAAAAAATTAGAAATTCTTCTACATTATCAGACTCATCAATTACAGATACTACTACTACTAATAATAATAATAATAATAATATAGATAGTTTATATCAAACAAGAAGAAGTACATTACTCTATGGAAAGAATAATGTTATGGTAATATGTATTATATATATATATATATATATATATATATATATATATATATATATATATATATATATATATATATATATATATATATATATATATATATATATATATATATATATGAATATCAATGAAACCAACATTAATATTATGTAATCTAACTATCGATCGATTTGATGGATTAGTTGGAGTTAGATATTAACACCGTTGGATGTCGGCTAGGTCAGTGGTGTAGAGGTTAAGCGTGGTTAAGCACGAAATCTAGGTTTAGGATTTCCTGTTAATTACCTCCAACCACCATCTTATCTCAACATATTGCACTCAATATTGAGTCACCTAGACTATTAGGCACATTGCGACATGGTCGATAGGATTTGATTTACATTAAGAAGGACCTGATGCACACGGCATTGATTACCAACCAGTGATCAATCAATTGTGAAAGAAACAGTGTTGTCTTATAACAGTTAGGAAGAATGAAGAGTACAAAAAGAATAAACTCCTATACAGTCTTATTATTATTAGCTTTATTCAATATAATCTTTTTGGTGCAATATGGAATTCTTAAGACAAAGTATTTGAACGAGTTTTCGTTTCTTATTTCTTGATCGATATTGACGATAACATATTGAGTGATCGTCGGTTAGATATTAGCAGTTCAAGAATCGACATCTCATTAACGTATATTCTTTTCGATGTATATTGCCAAATCCCTATACTGATAATAATTATGTTCACATTAGTGATTAGCTTCAAGAAAAAATTTCCTGGAGTTCTAGTGAGAAGCTGTGATCAGTGGAGTTCAACTGTATTTGTTGTGAGGCAGTTAATTACAGAAGACAATGGAATATGGTCGCGCAATATCGTGGATTGATTAAAGTTACATATTAACACTTTTCGATACCGGCTCAGTGGTCTAGTGGTTAAATGTTCACATGTGATGTCGAAGATCCCAGGTTAGAATCGAACTTGGTTGTTTGTGGATATTAGCATTTCAGAAGTCGACAATTTAATAATATTCTTTCTTTTCAATGCACATTGCCAGCCATCACGATATTTTTGGTTGTGCTTTTTGTAACTTGTACAATGAAAGGTTGTAAACTTTTCACAAGCGCACCTGAATAGTTTATGCAATTAAATTGGCATAATGATTTGTTAAAACAAACAAAGAAGCAAATAACTTGTTGAAATATCTAGATGACAGGAAACAGGTAGCCCAGATATTCAAGCATACCGGTTTATCATCTTATCAGTTCGTTATACATAAGCATCTAAATAACCTATTGTTCTAATTAGCTATCCAGTTAAAGTATTAGGTTACTTAATACAGTTAGTTAATATTGAATTTATACCTAATTACTGCATTTTACTATGTGAAATTATGAAAGATATACCAATGAATAAAAATGCAGTCGAATTCACGAGTCAATCTAATCTGCACTACTATTGTAAACCTTAAAGTACTGGATGGCTGTTTCATCTTAGAATGGGAATACTCAGCAATGTGCACCCACGTAGGATTCTAACCTGGGACCTTCGACATCACATGTGAACATTTAACCACTAGACCACTGAGCCGGTATCGAAAAGTGTTAATATGTAACTTTAATCAATCCACGATATTGCGCGACCATATTCCATTGTCTTCTGTAATTAACTGCCTCACAACAAATACAGTTGAACTCCACTGATCACAGCTTCTCACTAGAACTCCAGGAAATTTTTTCTTGAAGCTAATCACTAATGTGAACATAATTATTATCAGTATAGGGATTTCGTAGAGACTGTACTATTTTCATAACTGAAACCATGTGTCCATAAATATATAAAGCTTGTGACTTAAGTCAATATCAAAACAGTTCGCACAAGATGCACATATGCCAACGTGAGACTGATCAATTGCAGACGTGAACATCAATGGAAAGATTCAAACAAACAATACCAAACGTATTATCACTTGATTAAGTAATACGATGGGAAGATTTGTTCAACTTTTCTTTCATTTATGCTAAAACTAGTTTCTCTGAGTCAATAGTCATGACATATGACACCTTTTTCACAGATTGAAATCATGAGTCAGTTGAAGCTAGACCATCATTGAAAACCTGGAAGCACTGGACGGCCATTTCGCCCTAGTATGGGACTCGTCAGCAGTGCATATCCACGATCTCGCCTCGCGAGATTCAAACCTAGGACTTATCAGTCTCTCACCCAAACACTTAACCTCTAAACCATTGTGCCGGCCTGCATCCAATTGTGATCTAACTTCAATTGATTCATTAATTCAACTATTATAATCATAATTAATAGATATTTAATGATTGAATTCATAAGTCAATGAAAGCTAGACCACCAATAAAAAATCTAGAAGCACTAGATGGCCATTTCATTCTAGTTTTGTGGAGATTTTTAGAAATTTCACTGATTGAAATCATGAGTCAATTGAATCTCGCGGTGTGCGGGATCGTGGATGCGCACTGCTGAGGAGTTCCATACTAGGACGAAACGGCCGTCCAGTGCTTCCAGGTTTTCAATGGTGGTATAGCTTCAACTGATTCGTGATTTCAATCTGTGAAAATTTCTAAAATCTCCATAAACCCTTTCTGATATAACATCTTAACAAAAAAGACTACACCATAATAGTTGTTAATATATCAGGAGAATAATTTTTTACAGCCTTAAGAACTCTTATAAGTTAACTAATCAAGTGTAAAAATTTATGTTAAGTGAAATTACACTAACAAAAGATGGTGGGAAGATCTAGAAAACTTCTTAAAAAACTCCATGAAAGGCTCTGAAAACACTGAGAATCATCTTATCCAATCAGCATTCAATAGAAGTTTAGCCAGAAACATCTATAAAATGAAAAGTCACATGTTGAGTTTCTGATTGGATGATTACTCATACTGCTACTATGTTCGCTAACATTCCAGAATTTTCGGGAAACCTAAGGACATCTAAAATACTATAAAAACCCTAGATTTTCTGTACATAAATGAACTTTTGGAGTAAAGTGTTTCTTTCATATTTTGTGTCTTTCCATTCATGTTCAAATTGCTGTATAGATCTAGTCTAAGGTGGGAGGTTACTAGAAGAGCTCAGAAACCGAATCTATCATTCAATTAGGAAAACTTATCATAAGGATTTCTACTGACCAACAACTACTATCTATATCTTAACACTAAATAATTAAGTAATTAAATATACCCTTGTAACATTTCTTTATCTTTTCCAGTTAGGTGATGATCAAAATTCTCTTGGTTATTTTGAATTAATCAGTTCTACAAATGATTTATTACTTAAATGGACATCGAATAATTTATTATTACAAGCATCCTATGGTAAATTTGATCATAATCATAACAACGATGATAATCAATATAATGTTGATCAAAAGATGTTCAATGATTCAATATATGAATGGAATAATCTTAAAGTTCTAGACAAATGTATCACTTCACAAAGTTCACAATCAGTCAAGAACAATAAAAGAATTGATTAGTAAGTGATTAGTTTATTTTTACTTTCGGGAACATATGTATAGATGATGAATTGTAGCTAAGAGTAGAATTCAGAACGCGTGTTTCGTCCTATGTTTGATTTAAAAACTTGTGACTTAAGGCAATCATTCACTCATTCAAAACTCAGTAGCTGAGTAGATAACGCGATGGTGTTTGAAGCGAACGGTACTGAGTCCGAGTCCCAGAGTGAACATCAAATCTGGGATGAAGGTACATCCAGTTAACGAGTCCCAAATAGGACAAAACGTGTGTCTTCGTTTCCACTGTTAGCCATTATCCATCTTTGCTTATAAAGCTTGTGACTTAAAGCTATATCGAGGCAATCCTCACAATATGCACATATACCAATCAGAGAGGGAGAGAGACTGATCAATTACAATCCTAAATAACAATAGGAAGATATAAGTAAACAACACTATCAAGTGAATTCATATAAATATGATTTTCAAAATTATTCATATGGACTGACTTTATATAAACAAAGTATAAACACTAATAAGTATTGGACAGATACTTTGGAAAGCTTCAGGAGTTCGTAACGACAATCAAGTTAAGGATAGAGCCTTAATGTAAACTATCAATCGTTTATGTAAGATATTCATTATTTCCCTGAACGTTCAACTTAAACCATCTCAAAAATGTAACTTTAAAAACGTATCATTGTGTAGTCGACTCTAACACTTCAAAATTCCCATCCCTAATGGTTGGTTTCCAAGATGAAATCAAAACGTTCTGTAATTATTCATACATTTTTCTTCGTCATAGGCAATTGGAATACTGATGAAAATTGTACTTTCGTAATTACTGTGTGTTGTTGGTCAAAAGTTTTAAGCAGTATTACATCCTTAATGTAATTTACAAGAGTTGTGATTAGATGGTGGTTGGAGGTAGTCAACGAGAAACCCTGGACCCGGGTTTCGTGCTACTTGGCACTCGTCAGCAAGGTGTACCTGTAATCTTGAGGGAACTGGTGCTCCCTGGCGGATTCGGTCTCATGTCACCCAGCTTCACAGTCAGAGACGTTACCACCGAGCTATCCGAGCCACGACTGACCTCCTGTAGGACTGAGATGTAATCACAATTGATTGATCACTTGGTGGTTATCAATGTCATGCTTGTCTAGTCCTTATTTAGTGCAGATCGAATGCTATCGAGATTGAATACGCCACGGAGCACCAGTTCTCTCACCTTGCTGACGAGTGCCAAGTAGCACGAAACCCGGGTCCAGGATTTCCTGTTGACTACCTCCAACTACCATCTAAATCTCAATACATAGTGCCCGCAAAGTCGAGTCACCTAGACTAGTGGCCACATTGCAACATGATCGATAGCATTCGATCTGCACTAATAAGAACTAGACACGCATGACATTGATCTCCACCCAGTGATCAATTAATTGTGATTACAAGAGTTGTCTTAATATGGATGTTATAGTACAATTTTACATAGAATAGATAGAATATGCTAATCGCAGCTAAGTAGATAATGCGTTGACATATCAACTCTGAGATCCAGAAAAAATTGTTTGATGAGTCTTAAATAGAACGAAATGGTCATCCTGGATTTCACTATTAGATACATTTAAGCTTTAATGAGCAAACTATGTGTCTGTGTGTCGGTGATAAGGTCATTGGTAGTCAGTTAAAAGAACAAATAAACAATTATTCCTAAAGTATAAAATTGCTAAGATAAATGCTTTATCAATATAGGGTTGTTGAGATTATTAAGTTTTTGATTGAGATTATTGACCGATTAATGTTAGACCATCACCGTTAAACCACTGTTGGATGGCGTCTCAGTGGTCTAGAGGTTAAGCATTCACGTTCTAGACTGAAGGCTCTGGTTTTGAATCCTGCGAGCGGGATCGTGGATGAGCACTGCTGAGGAGTCCTACAATAGGACGAAACAGCTGTCTGGTGCTTCCAGGTTTTCAATGGTGACCAACATCAATCGGTTCATGATCTCAATTAAAAGTAGTATAATTCACGTATCGCGTATATTTGGATATGAATTGATCTATTTTTAAATTGATTTTTCAGTGGTTTCCAATTGGGAATTCTCACAGTATCAATGAAAAAAATTGAATATGTTCACCTACATCAAGGTAAATTACACAATTCTAACTGAGTATATCAATTATTAATATTTTTGTGAAAATAATTTAATTACATAGTGTTGGCTAATCTTCTGTCGAATTAAAGAAGTATTTTCATGTTAGATACTGACTGATACAAGTGTTGCGTATGCTACTTATGTCAACAGATATAAGTAGTATATAATCCCAATCGGAAGTGGAAAACCTGGAAGCAGATGGCTATGAATGTTGAGACGTAATAAGAAAAGAATTGTGAATTGAAAGAATCATACAGAATATGTAAGACAAATGGAGTATTTCATATATGGTTCTTATATTTTAGCACGACTTTCTGTAATTACGTGTCTCCACATAAGTCTTCATTCGTTTGAGGATGGCCTACGAGTGAACTCAAGAAAGATCTGAGAAGTTCAAAAAGAGCCGAAGACATTACATTCAATCATCTTTCGGAAGAACATTCTAGAATCTCAACGTGTAGCTTCTCTATTGGATAAATGTTGAAAACTACTGTATGCGAATTGTATGGCAGTAGTGATGGCTTAGTTTTTACTAAAAACTATAAATACCTGAGAGTTATGTACCATATTTGACACTATTTAGAATAGCATTCCTTTTCTCTCGTCTTCTATCTTCTCACTTACGACTTGGAGAGTTCTAGCCAACAAGTGCTCAAGTAGTACATGGTATATCGAGAATCTAAACTGTCGATTTAACAGCTCGTTACATAAGTAGCATTGTCCCAAATCTATGTCAGTGATATAACTACTAACATTATGTAGTAATAATTTTCTTTATTAACGTATTTGGAGTAAAAGTCCGAATAATATACTAACCAAAACCGGTCATGGAATTCTTTTATTTCTATTCTATGCATGCAAATATTTGCTACTAATCTAGAAAATTAACTTTTATCATAGTTGTAAATAAACATCTGGATGATATGTGTTATGAAATAAGCTGTTACTAGGTCATTGTTTAGCTCAGTTTTGGGATTCTTTAGAAGTACTTAACCTGGCAACTAGGAAACTGAAATATCATTGGATTAGCATTCATTGATTCAAATATTTTAGTTAGAAACAATTTATAAAAATTCACCTGATATTGTTTTACTTGTATTTTCCCATTGTTATTGAGGACTGCAATTGATCAGTCGCTTATTAGTATATGTGCATTCTGTGCAGACTGCGTCGATATTGTCTTAAGTCACAAGCTTTATAATCAATTATGGATAGTGGCTAGCAGTAGAATCCATGATGCGCGTTTTGTCCTATTTGGGACTCGACAACTGGATGTACCTGCATCCCAGATTTGATATTCACTCTGTGACTCGAACCCAGTATTGTTTGCTTCAAACGTCATCGCGTTATCTACTCAGCTACTGAGTCCTGGTAGCCACTTGCTTGTTCAATAGGGTGAAGTTGAAATTCACTTGGTGTTGTTTTACTTGTATCTTCCCATTGTTGTTTAGAACTGCAATTTATCAGTCTCTCTTATATTGGGATATATGCATCATGTGAAAATTGCCTCGATAATACCTTAAGTCACAAGCTTTATCAGCAATGATGAATGGTTTCTAGCACTGGAGTTCAGGACGCATGTACACACAGCTGTCGAGTTTCAAATGAGACGAAACGTGAGTTCTGGATTTCATTACTAGCCACCATTCATCTTTAGTATTGAAAATAGTTTGTCAAATATCATAATTTTATTCTCTGAATTTTATTTATAGACGCATCCAATGAATATTGTATCATTTTAATTGGTTTTGATGGAATCCCACATCCACCAATACGATTGCACGGTGGATTCAATGCTGTTTATAATTTTCTAATATGTTTGGACCAAGGTTTACAACCTATTGCCTGTTTAAATCCATCACCTACTGAATTAGATGGTAATTAGATTAAATTACTGGTTGTATTTTAATTCTTTATATCTAATAACAAATACGTTAAGAGATTCGTGGAAGGTTATGACGGAAAACCAAGATCCTCAACACGGAGACCACCAATACAATCATACTTGACGGTGAAACTCTGAAAGATATGGAATCCTTCACGTACCTGGGAAGCATCATTGATGGACAAGGAGGATCTGATTCAGACATAAAGGCAAGGATTGGCAAAGCAAGAACCTCATTCCTACAATTGAAAAACATATGGAACTCAAAACAACTGTCTCTTAACCAATATCAAAGTCACAATCTTCAACGCGAACGTCAAGACACTTCTACTATACAGAACTGAAACTTAGAGAACTACCACAATCATCATCAAGAAGGTAAATGTATTTATAAATAATTGTCTACACAAAATATTCAACATCCATTGACCGGATACCGTCAGCAACAGTCTACTGTGCGAGAGAACAAACGAGCTTCCAGCTGAGGAGGAAATTAGAAAAAAACACTGGAAGTGGATAGGACATACATTGCAGAAATCACCAAACTGCATCCCGAGAGAAGCGCTAACCTGGAATTCTAAAGGGAAGCAGAAAAGAGGAAGGCCAAAGAATACATTACGTCGGAAGGTAGAATCAGATATGAAAAGGATGGATAACAACTGGGAAGAGCTGGAAAGAATTGTCCAAGACAGGGTTGGATAGAGAATGTTGGTGGGCGGCCTATACTCCTCCACGAGGAGTAACAGGAGTAAGCCAGTAAGTACTTTTTGTAATATCCTCATGAATAAAAAATTGAATTTCTGATGTCTCATAACTTAGTGTAATTTGTTTTTACCGTTCATCAGAAATACCTTGTATTCCAGGATCATTACTTGAATAAGTGTCTCATAAAGAATTCTATCTAATCATTGAAAAGATTTCATATTTTGACAAAATAAAAATGTTTTCTATCTAACATTTTTGTTGTGGTATGCGGTGTCCGGAATCTGATGATGATAATAATACACAGTGTGTCACGTGCTAACCCTTCAACTGACTACTTGAGCAAGAACACAAGAGTGAGATAGAGAAAGTATATTGAACTACCGAATGAAATGTACACATACTCATTCATATTTATATATACCACTCTATCTTTAGGAAATTGACCCCAATGAAATGCACTTAACCTTTAGGTTACTTCTAGTTACTCTCGATTGCGCTATACATTTCGAACAATCTTGTCACGGAATTTTATATGAAAATTGATAAAGGTCAATTAAATGAAAGTTCAAGTAAAAAAAGTAACAGAGGGGGAGAGAAACAATTTTACATCGTATAGAAAGAATAAGTAATTGTTACGCTATCTTAGGCCATACAACGACTTAAGGATTACCAGGGTAAAATCAAGGTTACGACATATTGTTTTTGTACATATAAGGGTGGGGGGGAGTTTAAATTTACAAATAGCCAATGCTTCACAAAACCCAAGAATTCGTCCTTGACAACTTCAGAATTAAGACATTCCATAAAAAAAGACGGACAAGCCCTTGGTTCGAGTCCCGCGAAGCGGGATCATGTATGTTCACTGCTGAGGAGATTCACTGTAGGACGAAACGGCTGTTCAGTATTTATATGTGAACCAGGCAAATAATTGTTAAGATGAACAAGTGGATGTACACTGATGAGAAATCTCATACTAGGACGAAACGGCCGTCCAGTACTTTCAGCTTTTCCATGGTGGTTTAGCTTTAATTAGCTCATGAATTCAATCAATAAACATTTTATAATGTATCACGACCATTACTTAATTACAGTCATTTCTTTTATGAAGACAATGATATAAGGAAACTTATAAAGTTTATTTGTTTCAGAAGTCATTGAAAAGGATGAAGGAAAAGAATCAAGAACAAATGAAAATCAGAAAATCAAGTTTAAATTATGGAATTTAATTGATTTTCTAAATAGAACAAATGAATCTAATGAAATCTGTAAACAGCCAATTGTCATACAAAGTAAAAATGATAAAAATCTATCTAAGGATCATGACGATGATGATGATGATGATGGTGATGGTGATGATGATATCAATGATCATGATGATGTGAATAACAAGAATGAAATCAATTCAAATCAACCACCAAATAATGAAAATGTAACATGCTTTCATGATGAAAAGAGCGAGTTGAAAAGATCATTGATAATCTATAATGAAAGATATAAAAATATAGAAACTAAAGGTGTTATATTTAAAGTTATGCGTTTTGATGTAAGTTGTTTTAGTTTCTAATAGATGCCTTGTAGATGTATATTAATTTTACTATGAAGTAATCTTTCTAACATTTAGTACCTATCCATTAAACAACTTTAACTTACTTACTTACGCTTGTTATCTCCAATGGAACATAGGTCGCTGACCAGCATTTTCCAACACAATATGTCATGGACCTACCTTTACAGATCTATCCAATTTTTGTTCATTCTTCTTTCTATGTCTGTCTCCATTTCTCCGTGTAATGTGTTCTTCGGTCTTCCATTCCTCCTTTTGCATCGAGGATTCCAGGTGAGGGATTGCCTTGTGATGCAGTTGGGTACTTTCCTCAATGTGTGTCCTATCCACTTCGAGCTCCTCTTCCTGATTTCTTCTTCCTCTGGAATCTGGTTTGTTCTCTCCCATAGTAGGTTGTTTCTGATAGTGTAGTGTGTTGCCAACGGATCTGAAGTATTCTGTGCAGATAACTGTTAATAAACACTTGCATCTTGTGGATGATGGCTTTCGTAGTTGTCCAAATTTCCACCCCATACAGTCGAACTATCTTGACATTTGTATTGAGAATTCTGACTTTTGTGTTGGTTGACAGAGAGTTGTTTTGAGTTGGAGATATTCTTCAGTTGTAGATATTCTGTTCTTGCTTTGCCGATTAGTGTCTTCCTATCTGCATCAGATCCACCGTGTTCATCAACGAAGCCGCCCAGATAAGTAAAGGTTTCCGAAGCTTCTACGTGAAGTGTGATTCGATTGGTGCATGTTTTGTTGTATCGGATAATCTTCCTTTTCCCCTTGTGTATGTTGAGACCTACTGCTGCTGAGGCGACTTCTACACTGGTCGTCTTCTCCTGAATTTGTTGTTGCGTGTGCGATAGAAGAGCCAAATCATCTGCAAAGTCTAGGTCGTTCAGCTGGATCCTAGCTGTCTACCGTTGCTGTTGACGTTTTCATGATCCAGTTGATTACCAGGAGAAAAAGAAAGAGCGAGAGTAAGCAGTCTTACCTGAAACCTGTCTTTAATTCGAACGGGTCTTTGAGCTGCCCTCCATGTACGATTTTGTAGTTCAATCCATCATAGGAATTCCGTATAATGTTGACTATCTTCTCAGGTGCGCCGTAGTGTCGAAGAAGCTTCTATAGTGTTGTCCTGCCCACGCTATCAAATGCTTTCTCGTAGTCAATGGAGGTGATGTAGAGTGGTGAATTCCATTCAATCGCTTGTTCCAAAATGAACCGTAGTGTTGCAATTCGGTCAGTACACTATTGATCCTTACGGAATCCAGCCTGTTGATTTCGAAGTTGGTCGTCTACGGAGTCCTTCATTCTGTTCAACAACAGCTTGTTGAATACTTTTCCTGGTACTGAGAGAAGAGTGATGCCTCTATAATTCTCTCATTCGCCCTTCTTTGGTGTCCTTCTTTCTAGTCTGTTGGTACTTGTTCTTCATCCCAAATCTTGCTGAAGAGGATGTGGAGTATCTTTTCAGTCACTGCTAGGTCTGGTTTCAGTGCCTCCGCTGGAATGTTGTCTGATCCTGCTGCTTTGCCACTCTTGATTTGTCTGATGGCCATGCTGATCTCTTCAATTGCTGATGGGCCAACATTTATTGGGAGATCCGTGGGTGCTGCTTCGAAACATGGACGAAATTGATAGATATTACATATTTATTGAATACTCAAAACGTTACGTTAGTCTTATCAACATGAATATAATCTTAAGTTAAATAATCAGCACTTTTATCAACATCAATCTGCTAATTTAGACCAAATCACAACAGTCCAAGAATTAAACAAATCAACTAAAAAACACGAAATCCGCTTCAAATGTTCATCATTTTTTCTTGATTTTAAAAATAAATTACTGACTACTCTATATTCAGGAGAGAATGAATCTTTAAGTTTATATACAGAAATAGTCGACAGATAAAGACCAAATTAATCGAAATCCACCTATGTCTTATATTCAAAGCTGACAATTTAACTATCTCAACCAATGACTATTAGCTATTGTTGATGGATGGAGAATGTTGGTGAGCGGCCTATGCTCCTTCATGAGGATTAACAGGTGTAAGTGTGTATTGCTGATAATTACATTCGTAAGTAGTAGATTATGAACTTCTACGTCCGTTTATTTTAGGTTTCTTTGATCACAGATGAGATTTCCAGACTGATATATTCTACGTAGATAGTGAGCATGCAATAATCAAATACGAAATTTCTCGAGATTACTGTAAATGCTGAATAAACAGACCACTTGACACTTGTAGACACAAGCATGATGTATCTGATATCTTGAGAGAACTAGAGCTCTGTATTTGGTTCAAACTGAAGTTACTCAGCATTGAAATCTCGGACATTACCACTGAGCTATTGAAAATGTGACCGACAATCTATAGGCCCAGAGTGTTCAAAGTGATTGGTTTCTGGTGGTAACCAAGATATTGTATATTTGATTAACGTGGTAAGTTGTAATGTGGCTTAATGGAGATAGTTGAACTGGAATTGATGTGATCAATAGAGTTCAATCCATGTCGGATGTGAGACGATTGCCCACTGAAGACAATGAACAAAAGGTTGTACAAGATCATAAATCGATTTAAGTTAAAAAATTAACACCATTGAAGAATCCTGGCTCAGTGATTCAGAGGTTAGACATGCTCACACACGAGACCATAGATTTTGTGTTTGATTCACATGTTCAAAGTTATGAAAGAACATCCGATAAGCAATCCTATACTAGAACGAAATGGCCGCCCATTACTTCCAAGTTTTCAATGATGGTTTAACTTAGATCGACTAGTGAATACAGTTATTATATCTATTAATTGACAATAACTATGACCTAGATATTTTTTCTGTTCACCATTCACCAGTTTCCTATTATTATTGATATAGTGATAAAGGTTTGTAGCTTAGGTGGATGATTCTCAGAAATATAGTCATACTGTAGTGAACAGAACACGGGTGGAGACAATCGAATGTAGTTACCACAAGATTACAGGACTTGTTAATAAAATCTAACAATCAATCATTAAGTTAATGATTAATGTGCAAAATGTCCATCAATTGTCTCAAAGTCACTCAGACTTCATTGTTCTTACATTTGCATACCGATTGCATCCTGTCTAGATTCTTTACTGTTCGATCCTCTTGTCTCTCTGTTGCCACACCTTCTGTTCACGACTAACATCATATACTACTTACATCAATATAAGTAGCACACACCACAACACTTCATTCATTAAAGTACTTTCTTTTCCCATTTCTTTTCAAGATCTCAATGAATAAGGAAACTGATATTTTCATAGAACAAGATAATACAGACATACCAACTCATTCATCAATAGAACATACAAATAATAATGAACTAAAACAAACTGATACAATCAATAATCCAAAGGATCAAATATCTCAGGAAGAAGAAGAATTAATGAATCCAATTGTAACAATCAAATTACAATTAATATTGAGAACTTTCAAAGCTTGTAAGTTGATTATTATAATGAAATGAATTATTCATTATGTAGAAATATCAATATAACTATACATTAGATAAATGAGGAAAATTCTTTATTTACTATTGTGGTATGTGTCTTACTAATTTCGATAGATATAAGTAGTATGTATCATCAATCAACAAAACATTGAATGGTAATGAAACTATGGTAATGTATGCTATTGATGTTGATAGATACATGTAGTATGTATCATCAATTGAAAGTGAAATACCTGGTGATAGAAGCTTAAGATGATCGACGAGTAGAGAACGAGAACAGAGAATGATTAGTGTGATGATGAAAGAATTGAAGATGCTATGACAACTCATTAACCAGGAACATCTTCTATTATGAATTGTACCCACCAAGTGAAATTAAAAGATAGAAGCGAGGAAGGTCGATGATATATTTGATAAGCTGTCAATATATCGAGGATCGACTGATCTAGGCTGTCTAGAGGATGTTGAGCACGGCGTTCCCACTCGTGATCTGATGCGAATGCATGACCGAGCGCCTTCAGCTAGGTGATTCCATTAAAATTAATGTGGTCAGCATCCAATGTCGAAGACTTACAGAGATATTTATTTTGGGGGTTTATTTACCGCTACAGATCACTCCCCCCCCCTTAGCGGGGTAGTGATAACCCTAAGATATGGCCAGCCTAAAGTGATCTCATTCACCACACTATCAATGTAACTATAGAATATACATTAGAAATATAAGCAATTTTTATTTGGATTTATTATTGTAATGTGTCCTACTGATATCGATAGACATAAGTAGTATATATCATCAATCAAAAATGAGATATCTGAAAACAGAAGATTACGAAAATCGAAAACAAAAGAACATAAACAAAGAGTGATTGACATAGAAACAATAAAGCCTAAGACAATTGATTGACATTTTACAAATGAAGGAGATTAACAGATTCTGTAATGTTGTATTCGAATACATTTGGTTGTCTCCACTTATGTTCTCATTCACTACACTATCACAGGAATTACTTACTTACTTACTTACGCCTGTTACTCCCAATGGAGCATAGGCCGCCGACCAGCATTCTCCAACCTGGAGTACCTCTGGGGGCTACTGCCGGTCCCAAGCCCGGATAAAGGATGAGGGTTGGGCATGGGGTTAGCGTCCCCATCCCGTACAAAACTAACTCGCTAAAAAACGCTAACCAGAAAAATCACAGGAATTACTCTTATAAAAATCAATAGAAGACAATATAACTTTTATAATTTCCTGTTTTCATGATTTTGGGTAAAATATGAGGGAAAACTAGTTCCTGTATTGATTATTCGAAATGATTTAATCAAAAAACGTATTCATTCTAATGAAGTATGGGGTAAAAATCATGTTCTGGGTGGAAACTGTCTTATGCTATCTGTTTTACAGTGAGTAGTTTGATTTATCTTGATATAAATGATCTCTCTTTTTTTTCAAAAAAATTTTCATTTTATTGTTAAAAAAACTTCTGATAGATTGATTCGTTCTAGTTCTTCCAAGTAAACTGTTCTGAAACTACATCCATTCATCTAAAGTTTATATCAGAAGGGGTTTTGTGGAGATTTAAGAAATTTCACTGATTGAAAACATGAGTCAATTGAAGCTAGATCGCCATGGATAACCTGGAAGCACTGGATGGCCAATTCGTCCTTGCATGAGAATCCTCAGCAGTGCGCATACACGATCACATGCCCCACGAGATTCAACTGACTCATGAGTTCAATCTGTGAAAATTTCTAATATCTCCACAAAACCCCTTCTGATAATAATAATCATCTGCTCACCAGTGACTGACTTCAAGAGATACTCCTGAAGTTCTAGTGAGAAGCCGTTACCAGTGGAATTCAACCAGATCTGTTGTGAGATATCAACTCACTGAAGACAATGGTGTACGGTGACGCAACTTCGTGGATTGGTTGAAGTTAGACATTAACACCGTTGGATGCTGGCCGGCCGGCTCAGTAGTCTAGTTGGTTAAGCGCCTGGCGTGAGACTGATAGGTCCTGTGTTCGAATCTCACGGTGTGGTGCGGGGTTGTGGATGAGCACTGCTGAGGAGTCTCATGCTAGGATGAAACGGCCGTCCAGTGCTTCCAGGTTTTCCATGGTGTTCTAGCTTCAATTGACTCATGGTTTCAATCAGTAAAGATTATATGTTTAAATACAAATCATTTGAACTGTCAAGAATGATATACTTACTTACTTATGCTTTTTATCCCTCACAGAAGCGCATAGGCCACCCACCAACATTCTCTATGTAACCCAGTCTTAGGCAAACCAATCCAGTTCTTTTCAGTTGCTATTCATCTTTTATATATCTGCTTCCAATTCCCGATTCAGTGTTTTTTTAACCTTCCTCATGAATATTCAGATCACATTTATAAGAGATCAAAGTGACTGATCACTGGGAAAGACAATATTTTATGAGAAATATAATGATTTATTATAGTATTACTAACCTATTCAGTTAATAGAAGGGGATCTGATTCACTTACTATTCATTTATATTTTTCTAAGGGTTTACATATACTCGCCATATGAACAATGTACGAAAGCTTCTATCATCATTAGTTATTCATTCTGATATTAACTATACAAATTCATTCGATCAATGTAAGAAACTAACCAAAGAAAAATGGAATGAACTATTTGTGAGTGTTTCAGATAAAAAAGTAAGTAAATTAATTAGTTATAATTGACATCCTTTTTCTATACAGTTCAGTATTATAACTTACTTACTGACTCCTGCTATCTCCAATGAAACATAGGTCGCTGACCAGCATTCTCCAATACACTCTGTCATGGACCTTCCTTTCTAGTTCTATCCCATTTTTGTTCATTCTTCTTTCTATGTCTGTCTCCATTTCTCCGTGTAATGTGTTCTTTGGTCTTCCATTCCTCCTTTTGCATCGAGGATTCCAGGTGAGGGATTGCCTCGTGACACAGTTAGGTGCTTTCCTCAATGTGTGTCCTATCCACTTCCGGTGATTCTTTCCTATTACTTCCTCTACTGGAATCTGGTTTGTTCTCTCCCATAGTAGGTTGTTTCTGATAGTGTAGTGTGTTGCCAACGGATCTGAAGTATTCTGTGCAGATAACTGTTAATAAACACTTGCATCTTGTGGATGATGGCTTTCGTAGTTGTCCAAATTTCCACCCCATACAGTCGAACTACCTTGATATTTGTATTGAGAATTCTGACTTTTGTGTTGGTTGACAGAGAGTTGTTTTGAGTTGGAGATATTCTTCAGTTGTAGATATTCTGTGCTTGCTTTGCCGATTAGTGCCTTCATATCTGCGTCAGATCCACCGTGTTCATCAATGATGCTGTACCACTTAATACATCTGAAATCTTCTATGTCTAGTAAATTAAAGAAACTCGTAGTTCCGTCATATAAGCAATGAAATATCATAATGACTTTCATACATACTTAGCTAGAGTGAAGTTGGTTAGATATAAAACAAATAATGATTATGAGATTGTGTTATTCGATAGAGGATAGTGTGAAACAGAGTGATATTAAAGAAATTCAAAAATTTCCTTAATCTGTCCATCCAATAGATCAGTATAACTTTTAAATTGTCATCTTTTTCTTTATTCTGTAATGTTTAAACAAAAAACCAAATAATAATGAGACTATTGTGATGTGTGCTACTGATATCGATAGATATAAGTAGTATGTATCATCAATCGAAAGTGAAATATCTGGAAGCAGAAGGTTAAGAAGATCGAAAGAGAGAGAACGAGAATAGAGAATGATTGGTGTAGATACGAAAGAACAATGAAGTTTGAGACAACTGATTAACATTTTGCACATCAAGTATTCACTGTATGGTTCTTATATTTTACTAAAATGATCTATAATTTCGTGTTCGAACACATTCGATTGTCTCTACTTGTGTTTTCGTTCTTTATATTATGACTAAATACCAAACTTCTAAATAGCTTAAACACTTAGATCTCGAGGATTCAGCCCCCAAATGCCCTGGTACAGCCGAGGATGTGGATAGACAGCTCTCCCTCTCCAAATTCTCTCACATGGCCACGTGCATACAATCACTTCCACGGAAGTCCTATTCACTACATTCTCGCGGCATCGGTGTTGTTTACTAAATTAAGATAACAAAATGCAAATGATCGGCGCTTTAACCTGTTTGTGGACACGAAGATTCCACCTGGAAAAGTTGGAAAACCCTAATTCCAAACCAATGGTGCACATGGGTTCCTGTATCTTGAAGGAACAAATGACATATGAACCAATCGTTGGTCATCAGCTACCATGGGACTGCATCTCTAGACATTGCACCACTGCTTTGTGGATCAGACCTTTAGGTCGAAGGCTCTGGGTATGGCTTTCCAAGAAAACCACCTGCTTCAGATTGGGCAAACTGGCACTATCCCAGCCCTCATACAAATCGAATTATTTATGTAGCGCATACCTATTTCGTGCCTTCTTACATCAATGTTTATATGTTTAAATAAACAACTAAATAAATAAATAAATCTTGAAAGTGTTGAAATATCACACTGGAACTTAATTGTCTCTTAAAGCTTAAATGAATTTTTAGAAATTGGAAATTCATCTAATAATTCTAAGTGATCTTTAGATTCTATGAATATAGTCTGATAAACTATTTAAGCTCTTTGTTTAGTGAGATTGTGAGGAAGAAGAAGAATAAGGAATGTATTCCTAGAATTCGAAAAGCAAAAGTCAACTGAGCGACTTTTGAATGCTGACATCAATCTAAATGCAGAATACTGATAAGCCAGATGGTTCTAGACAGATTAGATGTTTTTGAAAGTAAGACATATTACATACTGTATCATAACTACTATCTTATGGTATATCTTATTACCTAACCTATTTGTTTACAAACATTTTCAATATGACTTCATGTTGAGTCATTAAATATGACTGTCCAGATATTGATTTCAAATAGTCTTTGACAATTATGTTAGACAAGTGACCGTATTCTATATTGATCGAAATCTATTTCAACCAGACGTATTGTTGAAAGTAATATGGTAGTCAGAAGATATCTCTATATCTCTGAAATAGTTCTACTCCTAATCTAGTCAACGAACTTGTAAAAGTTAATGACCAACATTTTAATCTTGTTTCTTTGTAGTGAACGAGAACACAAATGGGGACAATCGAATGTGTTCGAACACGAAATTACAGATCATTTTAATAAAATATAAGAATCATACAGTGAATACTTCATTTGCAAAATGTTAATCAATTGTCTCAAACTTCATTGTTCTTTCGTATCTACACCAATCATTCTCTATTCTCGTTCTCTCTCTTTCGATCTTCTTAACCTTCCGCTTCCAGATATTTCACTTTTGATTGATAATATATTCTACTTATATCTGTTGACATCAGTAGTACATATCACACCTTGATAAACTTTATTATGATATAAAAACTGGAAAAGTCTACTAAATATTGGCTATTAATACAATTGTTAAATGAATCTTGTGAATATATATTTGATTAATGATTGGTTTGGAATATTATTTCTTCAGTAGATGAAATTCTTGGAAGTCGTTGATCTAAGCTAGATGACGATTGAAATTCTGAAACAATTGGATGACTGTTTCATCTTGATACGAGACGCCTCAGTAGTACATATTTTTTTTGTTCGTTTAAATGAATTGACAAGGTTTTTTATATTTTAATTCTTCACAGAATTTTGATCCTCGACCCATTTATGAATGTATATATTTTGGAGGTTGTGTATCAGAATTACGCAATGAAGTAAGTGTTGTAAATGTTTTTCATTATTTATTTATTTTTAACACATAGATATTGGTACAAAGAGGCACCAAATACATATGCGCCACACAAATCTCATTCGATATGTGTGAGGGGCTGTGATAGTGCTCGGGTACCCAAACCGAAGCAGGTGGTTTTCTTAGGGGCCACACCCCAAGCCTTCGAACTAAAGGTCTGGTCCACAAGGCAGTGGTACAATGTCTAGAGATGCAGTCCCATGGTAGCTGATGACCAACGATTGGTTCATATGTCATTTGTTCCTTCAAGATACAGGAACCCATGTGCACCATTGGTTTGGAATTAGGGTTTTCCAATTCCTCTAGGTGGACTCTCTGTGTCCACCAACCCTGTTAAAGCGCCGACCATTCGCTTTTTGTTCTCTGAATTCGGTAAACAACACCCGTGGTGTGGTAAGGCAATGAGTAGGACTTCCGTGGCAGAGGTTAAATACGTGTGGCCATGTGAGAGCATTTGGAGAAGGAGAGCTGACTCTCCTCACTCTTGGCCGTATCAGGGCATTTGGGGGCAACTACAAACTAAGTTTATTTTAGCTAAGTAGTTTTCCATAAACATTTTCTGATAATAATAATAATAATAATAATAAGTTATGGTTCATATGAGAGATAGAATGAATGCATAATGTGATATTATTCAAAGAGTCCCACCTTTATTGATTGGATGAATACTAAGTAATCTGTGAGAAACATTGTTAAACAAATCAAGAAAATGGCATAGTGACTAAACATCGTGTACCTTTTAAAATAGTAGATATATCTACTTTAATATCAGAAGAGATATTGAATGGTTTAACTACTGGCGTTCACCATAGTCTTTAACATTAATTTTGTATTCAATCAACTAATACTCTAATGTTTAATAATAAAATTCATTGAAGCTTATTCGTAATTCAAGTTATACATAAAGACGATATGATGCTCATATGGATAAACATCTTGAACATTTGAAACCTTCCTAATTATCCGATTTGAATAGAGGTAAACTTATCAATATATAATTACTTCGATAAAATATTGGAACAGATTGTTCAGAGTTCATGACGAATCCTGTATTAGTGTTTGTAGCTTTTCATCAGTCGTCTAACTAAAGTCAGTCAGTCATCTACAGCATAGGACTAGGCACATATATGCACCGGTCCAATTTGCCACACCTCATTAGCACAACATAATGAACACCGAATTCATAGGAGTTAATTCGGTGGTGGTTGTATACAAAGAAAGAATGCATATAAGGACATAGTACAGGAAGAAAGAATTAGTTCGTAGGAAAAAGATATAAAGTGATTTTATTCTCATGGTTTAAGGGAAGACAAGAAGTGTATACACCGACGCTATTGTGATCGATTCTGAGCCATGTCACCCAGTCTCCAAATCAGTCAGTAATGTAAGTTTCCTAGATATTTTCCCCCCAGATACTATGTTGAAATGACTGATTGAATATTTCTAATTATATCATTTGGTTACTAATTTTCTTCAACTTAATAATTATATCTTGCATTTCTTCTGCATTATGGTGCTAAATATTTACTTCTATATGTATTTGAAATTGATATGTTGTTTAAATTTTAAGATATAAGTTGTAAGCAGCTAATGAGAACCTATTGAAATTGAATGAGTTCCAATTAATCTCCTCAAATTTTCGTACTCATTCTCTTTAATATAATGATGAGAACTGTTGTAACGTGCGGTGCTACGTGCTAACCCTCCAAATGACCACTTGAGCAAGAACACAAAAGTGAGAGAGGAAGTTGATATGCTTGAATGCTATTACGAGTTCACTTACTCGGTAAACAGAACGAAGATCAACGATACAGTGACACAATAAGCTATTCTAATCCGTTGTCCCCGGCTCTGCTAACTAGATCAAGAAGTCTTGATGAGGCGTAGAGAATGTATTCTACAAGCACCCAGAAAATACAACGTCACTATGCACAGAAATCAGGCTTATTTATACAATGATAGAAACGCCCTTAGGAGAGCCACAAAATAGCGTACTAAAAAAATTCATCAACGAATGACAGTCAAGTATTTCCGAGTGGGAAATGTAAGCTATAGGTCAACTAAACTTCTCTTGGCGCCAAAACATTAAATTTAAATTTTCAGAATAAAATTACAAAATTCGGACCTTTTCCAAGTGAGTTCTGAGAATCTAACGTCTTCAACAGAAGTGCATTGGACTATTGAATGAAATGCACAAATACATGTATATATACCACTCTATCCTTAGAAAATTAACTCCAATGAAGTGTATTTGACCTTTAAGTCACTTCCGAATGTCATCGACTGACTTTTTGCTACTTCTGATTGACTCTTTATATCATGTCATTATTTCTTTTGATACTGTGTAACTATATATTTTCATGATTTTTTATAGTTGGTTACAGCCTCAAATCTACACCTATCAGTAAGCTAATACAATCTCTTTGAGAAAAACACTTTTTCTGTTAGATCTATTGAGTAACTAGAGCCAATTAGTTGCCTACATCTAAACTATTTTCTGTTTTATACTTCGTTATAGCAACAGACAAGCGTTTTCTTAAAAATACGTTTTCAATGCGAAGAATTATTAAGAGTAATAAACCTTTAAATAGATGATAGGTCATTCTATACATTCAACATCTGTATTGTATAGGCTTTACATAGATACCATGAAAGATACGGTACGAAAATCTTTTATTTTTCGGATTAGTAACAAATGGTAATATCTTACTGATTGAAATCATGAGTCAATTGAAGCTAGATCGCCATGGATGACCTGGAAGCACTGGAAAGCCGTTTCTCCCTATTACCAGACTCCTCAGCAGTGCGCATCCATGACTCCGCACCCCGTGAGATTCGAACACAGGACCTATCAGTCTCACGCCAAGCGCTTAACCAACTAGACTACTGAGCCGGCCGGCATCCAACGGTGTTAATGTCTAACTTCAACCAATCCACGAAGTTGCGCCACCGTACACCATTGTCTTCAGTGAGTTGATATCTCACAACAGATCTGGTTGAATTCCACTGGTAACGGCTTCTCACTAGAACTTCAGGAGTATCTCTTGAAGTCAGTCACTGGTGAGCAGATGATTATTATTATCAGAAGGGGTTTGTGGAGATTTTATAAATTTCATTGATTGAAATCATGAGTCAATTGAATCTCACGGGGTGCGGGATGGTGGATGTGCACTGGTGAGGAGTCCCGTACTAGGACGAGACGGCCGTCCAGTGCTTCCAGGTTTTCCATGGTGTTCTAGCTTCAATTGACTCATGATTTCAATCTGTGAAATTTCTTAAATCTCCACAAAACCCCTTCTGATAAAATGGTATTATTGCCTAAGCATAAAAGCATGGTATTAGATTTTTTAGAATATTGATTTAAATATCAACAATTCTAGGATAATCTGAATTGAAAAAAATCACCCAAATCTTTTAGTCGCCAAGTTTAATGGGTCTATATCTATGATTTAAAAATCCATTTGTCATTTTGTGTGTATAAATGACCTAAAGACTGGAATCATATAATTATATCTCAATGCTTACTGATTCAAATACTAAATGTTTTTAATTTTTGTTGAAATAATGAATCAATCAACGTTAGACCACTATTGAAAATCTGAAAGCAATACATTACCGATCGGTTCTAGTAAGGGACATCTCAGCAGTGCACATCCATGATCCTGAATGTGGGATTCAAACCTAGAACCGCTGGTCTCGTAATCAAACGCTTAAGTTTTAGCTTTCATCCAACGGTATTAGTGTGTAACTTTAATAGATCTACGATACTACGCAACTATGTTCCATTGTCTTTAATGGGTTACTGTCTCATAACAGATACGGTTGAAATCCAATGATCACGGCTTCTCACTAGAACCGTGAGAATTACTTCTCAAAGCTATTCTCTAGTGAACACATGATTTTTTTAATTTCACAAATGAATCTGTTATTACATATAATTATCTACACTATATGCTCTCACATGGCCACGCGTATACAGCAAATGTCAGGGAAGTCCTACTCACTGCATTCTCGTGGCGGCGGTGTTGTTGTTTACGAAATTAAGAGGACAAAGAGCGAATGTCTGACTCTTTAAACGGGTTGATGTTTATAGAAGATCCACCTAGGGAAGTTGGAAAACCTCCATTCCAAAGCAATGGTGCACATGAGCTTCAGGATCCTGATAGAACAAATGGCGTATGAACCTATTGCTGGTCACCAGCTACCATGGGACTACATCTCGTGACCTTTTAGATTAGACCATTAGGTCGGAGGCTCTAAGTGTGGCCCCCCAAAATAAAACTACCTGCTTCGGTTTGGGCACCCATACAATATCCCGACCTTCACACAAATCGAATGATTAATGTGGCGCATATCTATTCAATGCCTCCTTGTACCATTATTTATATATTGAAATAAATAAATAATAATACTATATTGATTTATGTATTTAGGTTTGGCCTTATCTACTCGGTGTATATAATTGGACAATGAGTGAAGAAGAAAAACAAACTATCAATGAACAATTAAAAGTACATTATAATGAAAAAATAAAAGAATGGACTAAAATAGAGAAGATTATTCGTGATATGGAACAAAATCAAACCATAAATACAACATTATTATCACAAATGAACAATTGTCAAACTACTGATAATCTGACACACAATTCATCTTCTTTAATTGAATGTAAAGTAAGAATTAGTAAATTTGTCTTTAATTATATCAATCGTTTTGTATTAGTAGTTTGAATTTTCTCATTAATCACAATTGATTGATCACTGGGTGGTCTATATCAGTCGAAACTGTGTGCACTATGTGTTGAGATTAGATGGTGGTTGAAGGTAGTCAACAGGAAACCCTGGAACTGGGTTTCTTACTAATTGGCACTTATCAGAACAGTGTACCTGTAATATTGAAAGCACTGGTGCTCCCTGATGAATTCGATCCCATGTCACCCAGATTCACAGTCAGAGACGTTACAACTATCCGAGCCGTGACCGAATCGAATCCGTCAGGGAGCACCAGTTACCTCAAAATTACAGGTACACTTTGCTGAGGAGTGCCAAGTAGCACGAAACCCGGGACCATGGTTTCCTGTCGACTACCTCCAACAACCATCGAATCTTCTCACTAAAGTTTACAACTGCGATTCGAACACTGGACTTACTGGTTTCACGCGCGAGCACTTAACCACAAGACCATTGAGCCGGCCGGCATCTAACGGTGTTAATGTCTAACTTCAACTAATCCACGAAATTGAGCGACACATCCACCATGATCTTAATCGTTGAAATTACTATAATATCCACAAAACCCATATTAAATAAATTAAATACAAAGTTGAAGCTAGACATTAACATCATTGAATGTCGTCCAGTTTAATGGTTTAGACGTTAGGTCTTGTGTTCGAATCTCATGAGGTGAAATCATAGATGCGCATTGTTGAGGAGTCCCATACGAGGACGAAACAACCATCTAGTTCTTCCAGACTTTTTCATGGTAGTCTAGATTCAATTGACTTATAATTTCAACTATTAAAATTACAAATGACATTCACTTAGTTTGTGTAAATGAATCGAAATTTCCTTCTTTGATTTAGGTGAATAAAAGAAAAAAAAATACGATAAATGAACAAGTAGAAAAGAAAGAAAAGCAGATTTTAACATAAATTTGAATCATTTTATGTTTCTCATTAAAATTTACTCAAACGGTTAACATTGATGAATGAGAAGTTGTAGAGATCTATCTATCTGTCCATCCATCCACCCATCCACATGTCTGTCTATCTATCAATCTATCTATATGATGAAAGAGAAGTTGTAGAGATTTACTTCAAATGAAAAAAAGCATTGATCCAAAAACTCTGGTTAATAACTGATTCCTGGGATCTATCTCTCTGTTTCTCTCTATCGATCTGTATGCTTGTTCGTCTATCCATTTATCTGTCTATTTATCTATCAATCTGTCTGCCCATCCATCTGTTTTTCCACATGTCTATATATCTATCTATCAGTCTGTCTGTCTATCTATCTATCAATGTATCTATGGGATAAATACATATAATGAACGATGAAATCAGAGATTAGAAAAACAATTTGTCTTTTTACTTCAGTTGTTCCATAAATTGACAATTTAGTTTTCAAGTAAAAGAATGTTGAATAACATTCTCATGTTAAACATTCATAATATAAACTATTTAAGTACACAATGCTATTGACATGTGAATATTTGAATATCATAAGGGGTTTTGTGAAGATTCTAGTGATTTCAGTGGTTTTGATCATGAGTCAATTGAAACTAGACCATCAATGGAAAATTTGAAAGAATTAGATGGCCGTTTCGTCCCATTGTGGGACTCCTCAACAGTGCGAATCCACGATCCTGCCTCGCGAGATTCGAACACAGGACCTATCAGTTTCACACACGAGCGCTTAACCACTAGATCACTGATCTTGTCAACATCCAACGGTGTTAATATCTAACTTCAACCAATCCACGAAAATCTTATACTAAGACGAATTACCTGTTCAGTACTTCTAGGTTTTTCATAATTTATTTGTTATTCATTTCATTTTAACACATAGATATTGGTACAAGGAGGCACCAGATACATATGCGCCACACAAATCTCACTCGATATGTGTGAGGGCTGTGATACTGCTCGGGTACCCAAACCGAACCAGGTGGTTTTCTTAGGGGGCCACATCCAGAGCCTTCGACCTAAAGGTCTGATCCACAAGGCAATGGAGCATCGTGGGGAGATGCAGTCTCATGGTAGCCGGTGACCAACGATTGATTCATATGCCATTTGTTCCTTCGCGATACTGGAGCACATGTGCACCATTGCTTTAAAATTGGGGTTTTCCAACTCCTTTGGGTGGACTCTCTGTGTCCACCAACCCTGTTAAAGCGCCGGAAATTCGCTTTTCGTCCTTTGAATTTCGTGAGCTATACCACGCCACGAGAATGCAGTGAGTGGGACTTTCCTTGCAGAGGCTTTATACGCGTGGCCATATGAGAGCATTTGGAGAGGGAGAGCTAACTCTCCCCACTCTCGGTCGTACCATCATAAAAGATACAATGATTTAATTAATTCATTGAATATACTTAATCAGATATAATCATTTTTGTTTTCATCATATAGGAAAATATTTTAAAGCAGTTTTCCCATGCATTAGATTCTGTAAAGAAAGATGTTGTAAGATGTGATAGAAATAATTGTGTCTATTCTAAATTTGGTAAGTTTACTAAAACAGAATTGATTGTTTATTTATAAACTATCTGTTGATTTTCCTTATTTTTTTTGGTATTTGGGCTTACAATAAACAATTACGTTTATATTATAGAAATAAGTAGCTTTATGACTGAATAGATCTGTTATAGTACTTATTATTATTATGAGAGGAGAAATGATGGATACATTTAAGTGTCTCTGCCAACTAGGGAGGGGGGAGGATGCTGTTACTGAGGTGCTAGTTAGGGTGGTCTGCTCAGGGGAGTTGCCGTCGAGTAGACTATTCTGGCGAGGTGGTGTTGGCTGTAGCAGGTGCTGATGATGGAGAATTGCAGTAGGACGTGAAGCTACTGGGCGGACATTGAATGTAGATAACTTAGTAGGTCGCTGGAGCGCAGGCGTTGAACGTCCCGAATGTGATGAGTGGAGATCGGATTACCTGCTGACATAAAAGATTAATTGATTATTTATTTCAACATTATAAAGAATGGAAGTAAAAGAATAGACATTCATATCTATTGATTTTTCAACCTTCTTATTATTACCATGGATCATTAAAGTTTTACTTTGTTATTACTGATCGAAATAAGTCAATATCATAGAGTGAATGTTTGGTTCGTAGGTTGACCAGGTTAAAATTCTGTATGAAGCATGGATTTCATGAGTCAATTGAAGCTAGACTACCATGGAAAACCTGGAAGCACTGGACTGCCGTTTCGTCCTATTGTGGGGTTCCTCGGTAGTGCTCATCCACGACCATGTCTCACGAGATTCGAACCCAGGATATATCAATCTCGCGAGCGAGCGTTTAACCACTAGACCACAGAGTCAAGCATGGATTTACTTAGAGTTAAATATATGGTAACCTTTTCATCGGTTATTGTTAGCTAAATTAAACAATTGCAATACATTATATCTTATCAGTAAAAATAACACACGCAACTAATTAGTCTTTTGAGATACGTGAAGCATTATTCCTTCTGTTTATTTGAATACATAAAAATTGGTACAAGGGATCACCAAGGTCATATGCGCCACACGACAACAATGAGGTCAGTAGCAGTTATCATCGATTTGTGTGAGGTCTGTTATACTGCCGGTGTGCCCAAACTGAAGTAGGTGGTTTTCTTAGGAAGGACACACTCGGAACCTTTGACTTAAAGGCCTGATCCACAAGGCAGTGGAGCAACGTCTGGTAGTCGGTGACCAACAAGTAGGTTCATACTTCATTTGTTCCCTCAGTATCCTGGAGCCCATATACACCATTCGTTTGGAATCAGGGATTCCCAACTTCCCTGGGTGAATCCTCCATATCCACCAACCCAGTTAAAGCACCAAACATTCGCTTTTTGCCCTCTCAATTTCGTAAACAACACCCCCAAGAGAAGGTATTGAATGGAACTTCTCTGACGGAGGCTGTGTACGCATGGTCATGTGAGAGCATTTCGAGAGGGAATTCGGATTCTTCCCACCCTCGGCTATACCAGGGCATTTAGGGGCACTGGAAGCATTGTTTCATGATTAGTATGAAATATTGATTTTAGATCCAGTCTTACATTTTACATGTCCTGTTAAAATAATAATAATAATAATAATAAGCGCTTTGTTCGTCACCTCGTGTTACTCCACAATAAATAATCTCAGCTCGAAAATTTCTATATTAGAACGAAATTCCAGTTTTATAGTCATTTAACTTGTAAAGATTGTCAACATTATCTGGAACTCATACGACGGACTACACTGCAAAGTCGTCCATGGAAGACAGTCGACAGATGCATTTCAAGTTTGGACAGCAGTCAAACAAAAGTGCTTAATCTCCCCTTTTCTTTTTGTTCTGGTGGTTGAATGGACTGTGGAGACCTCTTCATCTCACGGGAAGCACGGATTATAATCAACAGGTTGAATGCAACTAGAAGATTTTGACTTCGTAGATGACCTGGCTCTTCCATCCCATACACATCAACAAATGTAGGTCAAGTCAAACACTGTAGCCTGCTGCCTCTGCATCAGTATACCTCAAAATACATAAAGGAAAAAGTAAGATTTTCAAACACAACACAGAGAACACTAACGCGATTGCACCTGGTGGAGAAACTCTGGACGAGGTGGAAGGTTTTACGTATTTGGGCAGAATCATCGATGAACAAGGAGGATCCGATGCAGACGTAAATGTGAGGATTGGTAAAGCAAGAACAGAATTCCTACAGTTAAATTTCTAATGGAACTCAAAACAACTGACTCTAAACCAATATCAAAGTGAGAATCTTCAATACGAATGTCAAAACAGTTATACTGTATGGAGCTGAAACTTGGAGAACTAATGCAATCATCATCAAAAGAGTACAAGTATTTATAAATAGCTGTCTACACAAGATACTCAACATCCATTGGCCGGATACCGTCAGTAACAGTCTACTGTGGGAGAGAACAAACCAGCTTCCAGCTGAAGAAGAAATTAGGAAAAGACGATGGAAATGGATAGGCCATACATTACTCAAATCGTCAAACTGCATCACTAGACAAGCCCTAACTTGTAATCCTGAAGAAAATGAGAAAGAAGAAAGTCAAAGACCACAGTATGTCGGTAATTAGAAGCAGATATGAAAAAGATGAATAACAACGGGAAACAGCTGGAAAGAATTGTCCACAACAGGGTTGGATGGAGGCGTAAGTAAGTTGTAAAGATTAGAAAACTATGCTTAAGAATAATAATATTCTCTCATTCATATTTACCCCTAAATATTTTCTACCAATCTTGTTACCATGATACCTCTTTCTCCCATCTAAAATAAGTTTGTATGAATTCTACAATAATCATCTGTGTTTATTCACCTTTTTTTCTTCTTCAAAGATTCACATGGTGATCGTAATTTGGCTACAATTGAACGAATCTTATTAACTTATGTATGGGAATATCTTGATGATGAATATACTCAAGGAATGTGTGATATAGTTGCACCATTATTAGCATTAAAATTAGAACATTCCATACCATCATCCATAGATACCAATAATCAATCTTCATTGATAATAAATGAGAATTCAATAGAATTATTAAATGAAATTGAAATTAGTACTTATATATTATTTAAGTATTTAATGGAAAATCATTTAAAAAAATTATTTGCAAAAGAAACTGCAACATATTATATGGATCAAAAATTTGATCATATCAAATCATTAATACAGGTAGAGATCTTATATATATACGTACACATATGTATTATAACTTATGCTCTGTATCCTATTAATGTATAATGTAATGATACCGCCAATTAGAGCACAGTGAATTATCGACCGGACCAATGAAGCATAAAATAAGTACGAGCAGTCTGGAGTCCTTAGTCAAAAGTGGCTGTGAATGTGGGAGATAGTAATTAATAGACTCTGTATAACTCAAGAACGGTAAATCATATAATAATAGTTCACAGATCAAAATAAAGCTCATAATAAGAGGGACACGAATATGAACAGTTTAGTTATTTAACAATTACACGATAAAAAATATACGTATAGTTACTTACTTACTTACTTACTTATGCCTGTTACTTCTCGTGGAGGAGCATAGGCCACCCACCAGCATTCTCTATCCAACCCTGTCTTGGACAATTCTTTCCAGCTCTTCCCAGTTGTTATCCATCCTTTTCATATCTGATTCTACCTTCCGACGTAATGTATTCTTTGGCCTTCCTCTTTTCTGCTTCCCTTTAGAATTCCAGGTTAGCGCTTCTCTCGGGATGCAGTTTGGTGATTTCTGCAATGTATGTCCTATCCACTTCCAGTGTTTTTTTCTAATTTTCTCCTCAGCTGGAAGCTGGTTTGTTCTCTCCCACAGTAGATTGTTGCTGACGGTATCCGGTCAATGGATGTTGAATATTTTGTGTAGACAATTATTTATAAATAAATTTACCATCTTGATGATGATTGTGGTAGTTTTCCAAGTTTCAGTTCTGTATTGTAGAAGTGTCTTGACGTTCGTATTGAAGACTGTGACTTTGATATTGGTTAAGAGACAGTTGTTTTGAATTCCATATATTTTTCCATTGTAGGAATGAAGCCCTTTCTGTTTTGCAGTGGAGTGCTAAAATCAAAACTAAATGATTATGTAACCATTCAAATAACTGATTTAATTCATGGAAATTAATATTTACTTAAAATGCTAAAAGCATTCCATTCCATTTTATAAGATGGGGCCTGAATTCAACTTCACCAAGCGCCCTCCCCCCTCACGAAAAAATTGAGATGAATAAAATCTTACAATGGACTAATCATGAAAAATCTCAAAATATACGTTATGTTAAATGTAAAAGTCATTTACTTGCTTTATCAATGACATTGAAAACATCTGAGCTGAGATTAACATTTATGGACGATCTATGAGCAACACTAAATTGACCTTTTAATTATCCACTTACTTACAAGAGCTAAATGAGGGTTGTAAACTAGTTTGAACAATAAGGATTATGATTTATAATTGATAGTTAGATTTAAGAATTAGATTTGGGGAAGGTGTTCATCACAAACTGACATCAGTTAAAATACCTAAAATGTTATTTAACCAAAGGAATGAATGAATATCGTGACAAAAATCCAAGATCTGTTAACATAATTGATTGATCACTGGGTGGTGATCAGTGTCATATGTGTCAAATCCTTCTAAGTGCAGATCAAATCCTATCGACCATGTTGCAATGTGGCCAATAGTCTAGGGGATTCGACATTACGTGCACTATGTTGAGATAAGATGGTGGTGACCACCACCCAGTGATTAATTGATTTCAAATACATCTCAGTCCTATAGGTCAGTATTGGCCCAGATATCTCAGTGGTAACTTTTCTGACTGTGAAGCTGGGTGATATGAGATCGAATCCATCAGGGTGTATTAGTAACTTCGAAATCACAGGTACGCCTTGTTGACGAGAATCAAACAGCACGACACCTAAGTTCAGGGTTTCCTGTTGACTACCTCCAACCACCAAGATCTGTTATCCTAAATCTGATTATTTCATTCATAAATGCTAGTCTCACCGCATCTGAATAATGGTATGATATTTTTTATCTAGTTATACTTTTAGATTAAACATATTGTAATTAATGATGAGCCTGATTTGATCTTCCGGGTTCGAACTAACAACTTCAAATGTCACTATAATAGATCACATCATATGACTATACATTAAACTAACCTTATATATATATATATATATATATATATATATATATATATATATATATATCAGTCAGTAACAACGTAAAAATTCGTACGTACGTACATCAGTTCGAGTTGCCACACTACATAGGCACAGAAATGCAGTTGCTGATTCAAATTCCGCTGTGGTAGAGGTAGTGAAAGTATAATCAGTAATCGGAAAGATTAGGGTATGAAGATTCGAGGAGTATAGTCCAGTGAAATAAATTTGGAAAAAGGAAAAGAGGGACATGAAGAATTCAGGAGATTAGAATTCGGAAGAACATAAAGAGTGGATGCACCTGAGCCATTGCAAACAATTTTGAGCCGTCATTCAGGGTCTCTAACCATCGGTTGCTATCATCTCTCGGTCCCCAACCAGGTAGTCTACACCTACCAACATGACTCAGTCCACTTGTCAGTGACTTCATGGATTTGTGCCATGTTTTGTTCTGGCTGCCCCAACCTTTCTTCCAACCTACTTCTATACCACTGAACATTTCACGTCGAGGCAGTCAGTGGTTGGGCATACGTATATATATATATATATATATATATATATATATATATATGATAGGTCTCCGGTTCGAATCGCGAGAGGCGCGGTCGTGGATGTGCACTTCTGTGGAGTCCCACAATAGGACGAAACAGCCATCCAGTACTTCCAGGTTTTCCATGGTGGTCTAGTCTCAATTGACTCATGATCTTAACTCTTTAAAATATATATATATGAATAAGTATATTATCACATATACTTTATATTTTGTATTTCATAGATATTAGACCCTGAATTAATTGGTCATTTACAGAAATTCAGTGATTTTACACATTTCTACTTTTGTTATCGATGGTTTTTATTATATTTTAAAAGAGGTCAGTTAGTTACTATGTAAAATCATATAATATTTTAATTAATTTTTAATTTATAAATAAAAAATCATTATTTAATTTTATGAGGACAATTCATAGATGAACTTAAGGAAGATCTAAGAAGTTCAGAAAGAGCCGAAGATATTCCATCCAATCATCTTTTGGAATACTATTCCAGAATTTCAATGTGTAGCTTAAAAATTACTGTATGCGAATTGAATGACTATAATAATGATTTTGTCTTTATTAAAAGCTACTAAAACTACCTGAGAGTTTTGTAACATATTTGACACTGTTTTGAAATAGTATTCTTTCCTGGTCATCTTTTATTTCCTCATTTATAATTTGGAGGGTTTCATCATTCGATTATTCAAGTAGTACATGGTATGTGAAGAATCCAAGCTTTAGATATACCAAATTTATATGCGGAATTTCAGAAGTTTCATTATAATCGATAAATGATATTCTAATAAATCAATGAAGACATCTTAAGCTTTTGAAATTCGAATCGTTTTTGAAGATACATAATCTACTGTACTAATATTTATCTTGAATATTGATAAGTCGTGTAGGTTGAACGCTATATACGATTCCTAAGCTATTCCGATAACCCGCAGTCTAGAACTACACAGCGACTTGAACTCCAGAGAGAAGACACAAGAATGAGAGAAAGCACTTTATTCCAAGGTTCATTCTTGTACAGAAAATCATGGGTATTTATAGATTTTGGCGTCTGTTAAATCAACATCATTTTACAGCCAATCCGATAACAACACATTATGCTACCGACCAATAGTAGCACGACACGTTGGAATTCTAGAACGTTCCATCACACTCTGATTGGTCAGGACTCTTCGGCTCCATATGGGCCTCTGGAGGCTCCGTTGAAGTTCTCCGGAAGCCGACCCAACAAATATTCGATTAAGTGTAAAGATACAAGCATCTTCATGATATTAGCACTGAGTCTTTCATTACATATGAAATATATGCAGATTCTTGAATGTAGACGAATTTTTCAACATCTATCTATCATACAATATCAGAATCTTGATTTAGTTATGATTGTTCTTGAGAAAACCTTGATTAAAATAATTTAAAATATGAATCGATAATGAAATACTATCGATCAAGTTATTATATAGTCACTAACTAATGAATTGAAGTTAGATATTAACACTGTTGAATGCCGAATGGCTCAGTGGTCTAATGGTTAGGCGTTCGAGCGCACAAGACTGATAACTCCTCGGTTCAAATCTCGCGGTAGGCGAGATTGTAGACGCGCACTGCTGAGAAGTCCCATACTAGGACAAAACGACCGTTCAGTGCTTCGAGGTTTCCAACGGTGGTCTAGTTTCAATTGACTCATGATTTCAACCATTGAAATTTCTAAAAAAAATCTCCACAAAATTCCTTCTGTTAATGAATTTCTCTCTTTTTTTCCTTTTTCTTTTTCTTTTAAGAATTTAATTATCAAGATATTTTTCAAATATGGGAAGTTATTTTATGCGCTGAACATATAATCTCTAATGATTTTAGTTTATTTATTGCTTTAGCATTAATTCAATATTATAGAGATGTGATCTGTTCAAATCATATGGAATTAACTGATATTCTAAAATTTTTTAATGGTAAGTAAGAAAAGGTTTCTTGTATAAATAAGATATCAGAATGAGTTGGAAGGGGAGATCATTTTCATGATCTCTTATCAACTAATGAATATATTTAATCAGAATGTTGTAAGGGGGGTGGACTAGAGATTGTAGAATTCATGAATCGATTTAAACTAGATTATCATTGAAAATGTGGTAACACTGGATAACTAGTGAAGTCTAGCCGGGTCTGTTGTGAGATAGTAACTCACTCAAGACAATACTGGATGTAACTCTCAGTTTCGCGGATTGGTTGGAGTTAGACATTATAACCAATGGATATCGGCCAGATCAGTGGTCTAGAGGTGAAGCGCTCACATGAGAAACTGATAAGTTTTAGGTTCAAATCCCATAAGCGGGATCTTGAATACGTACTTCTGAGAAAGTCCACAGTAGGATGAAACGGCCATACAGTGCTTACAGGTTTTCCATGATTTTCTATCTTCAATTGACTCATGATCTCAACTATTTAAAAAGAAAACTGTTTATTACTTTAAAAATAATCAGTATGGTATTAAATATCAGTAACTGACTTCCAAAAACAATTCCACGATTTCTACAGTGAAATCTTGACCATGATAGTACAACCATATTGAATATCCGTATAGGACCTTCAGTCTTTTGCACAAACGCTCAACCTACTAGACCACTGAGTCGGCATCCAATGGTGTTAATGTCTAACCTCAACCAATCCACGAAATTGCATGACCATCTTCCGTTGTACTGAGGTAGACACCTGTTTCTATCCGACACGGATTATCTTCACTGGTCACGGCTTCTTACGAGAACTCCAAGAATTTTCTCACAAAGCTAGTCACTAGTGAGCACATGGGTTCGAATCCCGCGAGCAGGATCGTGGATGCGCACAGCTGCCGAGGAGTCCCACAATAGGATGAAACGGCTGTCCAGTACTTCCAGGTTTTCAATAGTGGTCTAACATCAATCGGTTCATGATCTCAATCAAAACATATTGAATATGTTATCGATATCCAGAATTTGACTAAATCTACGAACATAAATAAAGATTTATTTTATTATTTAAGATCATAGATCATTCATTACATCTCATTTTTCAAATGTATATTTTCTTTGTCTATTTTAAACAGAACGCGCTGAACATCATAATGTTGATGATATTTTAAATCTTGCTCGACATTTTGCAAATACTGTTCAAAAGTTAACTAGTAAAACCAATGATAATTAATATATACTTGTTGTAATCCATATAACATTCAATGAATGAATAATGGTCATGGTAATAGTCTTGTACAAGGTACTTCATATATCTGGTCATAGATATATATATGTTGGTTGATATGATGTAATAGTTCAATTCTATATTGATTTCAATCAGTATATACTGTAATCATTATTGCGTAACCTTTTTTTGTTGTTTTTCTTACTTTTGTTTAGTTGTGATTGTTTCAATGATGTTGTTATTGTTTTTCTCTCGATTAGTTTTCTTTTTGCCATTTCATAATCTACTCCATTGTTCATTTTTATATTAATGTATACAATGGAATAAGATTTTGTTATCTAGTTTTCTTTTCATCGAGAAAAATATTAATCAATTTGATAGATTGGTTAAAATTAAACATCAACATTGTTGGATGTAGGCCAGATCAGTGGTTTGAAGGTTAAGCGCTCGTGTGGGAAACTGATAGGTCATGGGTTCGAATCTTGCAGGGCGGAATCGTGTATGATAAATCTTGGTAATTGGATGCTAGATTCGATTTCTAAGCTATTCTAGTAACTTCAAAGCTAGGACTACACACCGACCTGAATATGAAAGTAAAGGTGCAAAATATGAGAGAAGCACTTCACTCCAAAGGTTGCATTTAGTACAGAGAATCTAGAGTTTTCATAGTATTTTAGATGACCTTAGGTTTCCCAAAAATTCTGGAATGCTACTAAATATAGTAGCAGTATGAGTAATCATTCAATCAAAAACTCGACATTTGACTTTTCACTTTCTTGATATTTCTGGCTAAACTTCAAGTGAACACTGATTGAATAAAATGCTTCTTAGTGTTTCTTGATCCTTTTTTTGTCTTTCGCGAGTTTTCTGGATCACCCCAACAGTGTATGTGCACTGCTGTGGTGTCCCATACCAGGACGAAACGGTCGTTCAGTGCTTCTACGTTTTCCATGGTGGTGTGGCTTCAATTGACTTATGAATTCAGCCGTACGGTTTGATAGATTCTGTATTTCAAACTGAATCTAGATTGAAACTGATGGACAATCGATAGATGAAGCTGAGGTTGACTAAAGTTATATATATATATATATATAAACTTTAATAGTTGAATTCAGGATTCAATATTCATTATACCGCCCGTATGATTCGAGCCCAGGACTTGTTGATTTCGCTGAAGAGTCTCGTGCTATGACGAAACGACTGTTCAATACTCCTAGGTTTTCCATGATGGTCTAGCTTTAATTGATTCATGAATTCAACTACTAAAATTACTGTAATATCCACAAAACCCCTCTCTGATTATAATCATCATATTCTCACTAGTAACTGACTTCAAGATATATTTCCTGGAGTTCTAGTGAGAAGCCATGACCAATCGAGTTCAACCAGATCTGTTATGAGATAGTAACTCACTGAAGAGAATGGTCGATAAGTCACTCAATTTTGTGGATTGATTGAAGTTAGACATTAACAGCGTTGAATGCAGGTTCAGTGGTCCAGAGATTAAGTGTATGCGCTCGAGACCAATAGGTTCTGAGTTCAAATCCCACAGGCGGGATCGTGGATGAGCAATGCTGAGGAGTCCAACCATAGGAAGAAATGACCGTCCAGTACTCCCAAGTTTTCCATGGCGTTTTAGCTTTAACAATATTCACAAAATCCCCTTTCTGACAAAGTTTATTTGATTAAAACCTCAACATCTTACACCTAAAATATTATCATTGATTAGTATTTACTAGTTTAATGTTTAAATGAAATTTTGTTAGGTTCATGATTACGTTTACCAAGTACAATGGATCAGTTTAAAATTAATAAAAACAAACACAACTTTTCTTTCATCCCATAAACTACTATATCCCTATACATTGACTAGCTGTTGATTGTTCAATATAAACATTCAGACGTTCTGTTAAAGTCCCTTCATAATACATTTAATACTAGATGATGATAATAAGGATGTTTTGATTTATATCCATCGGTAATCATAAGTTATTATGATTAAGAACATTCTAAGGAATTAAGCCAGAAAATCAATAGTCTAATCGTTTTAGTGTCATGTTATATTTGCTTAATAATTATTTATTTCAACAGTTGAGATCATGAGTCAATTGAAGCTAGACCACCATGGAAAACCTAGAAGCACTGGACGGCCGTTTCGTCGTATCGTGGGACTCCTCAGCAGTGCTCATCCACGACCCCGCCTCGCGGGATCTGAACCTAGGATCTACCAGTCTCGCTCCAGGAGCTTAACCAAGTAGACCACTGAGCCGGCATTCAACGGTGTTAATTTCAATCAATCTATGATAGCATAAAACCATGTTTCATCGTTTTCGGTTGTGTAACTGCCTCACAATCAATATGGATTAGCTCTATTGGACGTGGTTTCTCATTATGACTCAGAAAGATTCTTCTCCAAGCTAATTACTAGTGTCCATATAATAATCATCAGTGATGGGTTGTGGACATTTTCGAACTCAATTGATATCACTAACTGATCTAAAATAAATCACCATTGAATGATGATTCAATGGTTTAGGGGTCAAGCAATTGTGCACGAAACCAAAGATTCTGAAGTTGGTTACTTCATGTGGAGTCATGGATGTGCACTTCTAAAGGAATTCCATACTAGAACGAAACGTTTGTCAAGTGCTTTCCGGTTTTTCATGGTGGTGTAATTTACATTGGTTCATGATTTCAATGAAATTTAAATCTTCACAGTAACTTATAGTTAGCGATTACTCCATGATGAAGTTTGATGATTTTTACAATTTATTTTTTAACCACTTCCAATATCTTTTTCTTTTATTCAGTTGGAAACTGTTTTGTTCTCTTCCACAGTAAATTTGTACTGATGGTATTAAGTCAACGAATACTGAATATCTTAGATAAACAATTGTTTATCAATACTTGTACTTTTTTTATGATGATTGTAGTATGAGAATTCCATAAACATATAATATTGAATAAAACTATTCATTATAAACACATCTCGCGGGGTGCGGGATCGTGGATGCGCACTGCTAAGGAGTCCCATATCAGGACGAAACGGCCGTCCAGTGCTTCCAGGTTTTCCATAGTGGACTAGCTTCAATTGATTCATGATTTTAATCAGTGAAATAACATTAAGCGTCTAGAATAACATCAGATTAGTGAATTAAATTACAATAGTATACAATAACTCTCAATGTTATAACTTTGCAAATCAATAGTACCATTGATGTATATAAATGACGAACAACTAATGAAATTGCTTGTAAATAATCATAAAGAAACCCATGGACTTATAAGAAGGATCCTTCATCAGTTACAGATAAACCAGAAGTTGAAAACAAGAGAAGACTATTCACATATGTGTTGAGAAGATCCAGAAAACTCCTCGAAAAAAAAGCCAACAAAGGCTCTAAATACACTGAAAAACATCTTATTCAATCAGCCTTCAATAGAAATTTTGCCAGAAACATCAAGACATTTGCAAAATGTTAATCAATCATCTCAGACTTTATTGTTCTTTTGTTCCTACACCAATCACACTCCGTTCTCGTTTTCATTTGTTTGATCATCTTAGCCTCCTACCACCAGGTATTTCACTTTCGATTGATGATACTGTAAGGGGTGATCCAGAAAACTACTCTCAAAAAGACAAGAAAGGCTCAAGAAAAACTATGAAGCATTTTGTCCAATGAGTGTTCACCTGAAGTTTAGCCAGAAATATCAAGAAAGTGAAAAGTCAAATGTCGAGTTTCTGATTGAATGATTACTTACACTGCTATTATGTTTAGTGGCATTCCATAATTTTGAAGAAACCCAAGAACATCTAAAATACTATAGAAACCCTAGATTTTCTGTACTAAATGGGAGCTTTGGAGTAAAGTGCTCGTCATATCTCTTGCACCTTTTCTTCCATGTCCAAGTCACTGTGCAGATTTAGCCTAGGGGTTACTAGAAGAGCTTGGAAATCGAATCTAGCGCTCAATTAGCAAGACTTATCAAAATGTGAATGAATGAAGTTAGATACAATTAAAGCTAGTTAAAACCAAGCTGACTAGTGATAATGCCATAACTTATGAATACTTCAGTCCTCATATTGTAATGTTTGAATATTCTCAAAGTACCTAATCTCTTGTATGTACTTGTTATTGTGAATGAGAATACTTGATCATTCTCCAATATTGACCACTTTAAAATAGACTTTTTTTTAAAGAAAAAACTACTTTATCTAAACTGCTGCCAACATTTAATGAAATCGTTGTTCAATTTTTTCCGTAAACAAGAATAACATGATAAATACTGAGATGTTAAACAATCTTATTGTGGATGCGTATTGCTGAAGAGTCCCATACTGGGATGAAACAATCGTTCAATCCTTCCAGGTTTTCCATGATGATGTATCTTTAATTGATTCATGATCTCAACTATTAAATCACTATAATCTCCACAAATCCCCTTTCTAATGATGATAATAATAATAATCTCATTATATCACATAAAATGAATCATATTATTATAGATAATCTGATGCATACATTAATATATTAGGTGGTATTTTACTCTCATTAGAACTGTATTACTCTATAAGAAAGATCTCACTATATAACAAACGAAATATTATGAAAGTATATGTAAACATTCCGTTTGTTTTTTTTTTCATTGTGTCTTATTAACTATAGTTTTTTCGGGGGTGGGGTGGGGTGGGGTGGAAGGGGAATTAAGGTTGCCAAGTGATAACAGATAGAGCTATTTTTGCATGTTTCGCTACAGCAGCATTCATATCAGTTACATGTGGTGATATCTAAAAACAAAACAAAACAAAAAAGAGAACTAGAATGAAATGATTATTTTAAAGAGTTTTGTGGAAATTAGTTTTTATTTGTTACTGATTCATTTCAGTTGGAGATACTATTGAAAATCAGAGAGTTGTGGACATTTATTCTGTATTATAATGATCAAAAATGCCAATCAATGACTATAGGGTCTTGCAGTGAATGTTTAACTAATAGAACCACTAAATCAGCTTCTGACTGAATAATTTCAGCTTCATCCAGTTTATAAACAACATGCAGATCAGATTGAAATGAAACAGTTAGATGATCGTAATGGGGTGTATGCTGCTTATACTGACGGGAATAGGCTCCTCGCAACGGTGTCCTCAGGATTGCACCAAATGTAATGAACATAAACGTACTTACTTACTTACATACTTACGCCTGTTACTCCTTGTGGAGGAGGATAGGCCGCTCACCAGCATTCTCCATCCAACCCTGTGGAAAATCAATTTATTGTTTCCGTAAAATATGAAAATCATACATTACATTCAGCATTTACACACCTGTCATCAGTTGTCTTTTACATAATTCATCATTCTTCTAATTCTGTTGTTATCCCGATTACTCTCCGTTTCCCTTCCTGGTCTCTTTAATTCAGTCTTTTGGTGATAGACATTCTACTTCTGATTGCTTCTACATACTACTTATATCTGTCAGCATAGGCAGTATACACCACAGTAACGCTATAACACACGAACTTAATAAAGTTGAAATTACACCATTGGATGATGATTTACTGGTTTTAGTGACCAGTAGTTCCCTGCGAGACCTGAAAGTCATTAAGTCAGTCCCTCACAGAGTATTTGGGAAGTGGTTTCAGGCAGCCTCAAACGAAGACAAATCATCTATCCACTACTCTGTGTTTTTTAATGGTACTCCATACGAAACTAATCGGTAACGAATGTAACTCGTGAGCAGTATAAATAGTTAAAAACGTTTTCAAATGATTTTTTCAATTATTTTCAGAAGAAGCGGTAACTGTTAAGAACAATTGATAATCTCTGCAAGTTTATAAACCTGACTTCATAGAATGCGTACCATACGACATAGATGTGAAAGCTTGGTTTAACGGTTTTGAATTGAAGTTAATGTTAACACCTCTGAATATCACTATGGACGACGTGAATTCAAACCACATGATGAGAACTAGTCTTCTGAATGTTTTGCGTACGTTTTACCGATGTGTCGCAACTAAAATAAAACCCAAATATAGGCTACTCGGCTTTTGTACCTGATAATATAACATTAAAAACTTGAAATTGAAAACAAATGAGGCAGCTGCTCACTGAAGACAATAGTGGACGGTTGCGCGATTTCGTCGGTTGGTTGTATTAGGATATTAGCACCATTGAACGACGGCCGGCCCAGTGGTCTATAGGCTAAGCGTTCGGATCTCACAAGCGGGCTTTTGGATGTGTACTGCTGAGGAGTCCCACATTAAGACGAAACGGCCATCCAGTGCTTCTAGGTTTTCCATGATGATCTATCTTCAATTGACTCATGATCTTAACTATTAAAATTACTATAATATCCACAAAACTCCTGAAATATTACAATCATTAATCCTAACGAAAATATACATTCACATAAAGATACAATGACAATTTTATGTTCAAAAAACAAAATATGAAACATACTTTATTTAAATGATCCAATAGAATCCTTCGACCTTCAGGTGTCTCAGATAAACAAGTTAGAACCTAAAATAAATGAATAAGATTGTCAACCCTAGAATGTTCAAGTAGAATGCGTAGGGAAATTCACTTCTATCAAGAATCAACTATATAAATATTCATTTCTATCATAACTATAGTTTAAATAAAGAGTTGAAGTAAACAAAAAACTGTGAAATAAACAGTTTGGTTTTACTGTATTCTGATCACGAAGAAGAAAATGATCCACACACTCAAGAAGCTGCTCTGATACTGTTCAAAGAAGCATATGAAACACTTATAGGATGGAAAACATCTTTTATGTGTAATTTTACTGTTAAATTAGTCAGCTATAATTAATAATGTAAAACTAGATTTATATTGGATTGGAAATAGAATAAATGTTAAAAAAGATACGAACGATATTCGACAAGATCTATGATAAGGAGTGCTATTTAAAGGAACTGGTATTCATTTTGAATCACTGAAAACAAAATACTGAAATGATATAATGAACAATGAATAATACTTTAATTTCAACCCATAAGATTAGTGACCTCATCAACCACTCAAACATGTTTATCTAGCAGCCTAGGTTGAACCTTAAAGTTGTTCATTCACTTGAGAATAACGATCCAAGGCCATATGTGATCAAATACCACATTACAAAAGCTAGTGGCTACTTGGACTAAGTAGCTAAATGGATAGTGCAACGGCGTTTGAAGTGAACAATACTGGGTTCGAGTCCTAGAGTGAACATCAACTCTGGGACTAAGGTACATCAAACCGACGAGTATCAGATAGGACGAAACGTGTGTCATGGATTCCACTGCTAGCCACTATCTATCTCGACTTATATTACTTGGTAATATCAAGGCAATTTGTACAGGATGCATATATACCAATAAGTGACTGATCAATTGGAAGATTCAAACAACGAATACAAAAATGAATCTACAAATATTCTTTATTTCTCGACCTTATAAATAAAAAGAAAGAAATATTCTATACATCACACAAGACTCGATTCGACAAAAGTAAAGTATACTTTCTGAACTGAGACCATCAGATATTAACCCAATAGGGATAATGAAAATTTCAAGATTGGTGAAATGGTCATTCCGCTCAACTATTACATATCACTGTGAAGGAGTAAAGTTAAATTTAAGCTCTATCTCTTAATGCTTTGTATGACCGACTTTTTTCCTGATTAGTTATTGTTTGATTTAGGGATGGTGTCATTATTTGGTTGTTCCCTCTTTTTATGAATAAGAAATTAAATGAATACTGTAATTAGCTTAAGAATCACTATCTTAAACATGTTAGTATAGATTGTTATTAAGTTTATAGGTATCAATGTCAAGGTTTTCCTTGATAGTTTCAAATAGTTATCAGTATAGGATGTTAATCTAAACTCAACAATCTTCACAACCCTATACTGATAATTATCATGTGCTCACTAATGATTAACTTCAAGATAGATTTCCTGGAATTCTGTTGAGAAGCTGTGATCAGTGGAGTTCAACCGTATCTGTTGTGGGATAGTTACTCACTGAAGACAATGGGGAACAGTCATGCAACATCGCGGATTGATTGAAGCTGGACATTAAGACCGTTGGATGCCAGCCGACTCAGTGGTCTAGAGGTTAAGCGTTCGAGAGCGAAACCGAAGATCCCGGGTTCGAGTCCGGTGTGCGCGTTGCCGAGATGTCCCATACAAGGACGAGACGGCCGTCTAATGGTTCCAGGTTTTCCATGGTGGTCTAGCTTCAAATGACTCATGATCTTAACTACTAAAATTACTATAAGATCAATAAAACCCCTTCAAATATAAACTTCATTGATTGATTGATTATCTTAGAGGAAAGCCTGACTCTCGAAAATCAATCATCAATAGCAATTAATAATCATTAAATTTCATCTGAAATAAATGAATAATAATTCTTACCTTGAAAGTATTAACTCTTACTCGACTACATTTATCATCAATCAAATTAAGAAGTAAAGGAATAGCACCAGCATTTAAAGTAGTATAACGACCATGATTTGTTGTACATATACTTGAGAAATAAGATTTTAAATAGAAAGAAAGAAAGAAAAATAATAATCTATCAATTGTACTTTTACTGTTGATGTTATTATCAAAAACTTGAGGATTTTATCTATTCTATGTTAATTTTCTACAATATGACATAATAATTGATGGTGGTGTCAGCTACTTATGTTGTCAGATATAAGTAGTATATGATATTAATCAGAAATGAAATGACTAGCAATAGAAGATTAAGAAGATTAAATTGAAAAGAAAAAGAGTGTAAACAAAGAGGAATTGTAATAATAACAGGTGAATGAAGGAACTATAAAGTTTATAAGAGAAGATTTGATGGACTATACACAAACAAATGAAGTATTTCATGTATGGTTTTCATATTTTATGAAGACATTCTGTAATTTTGCGCTGAACAGTAAATTAGTCTTATATGCAAAGATGGATAGTAGCTAGCAGTGGAATTCAAGACATACGTTTCGTCCTATTTGGGACTCGTCAGGTGGATGTACCTGCATCTCAGAGTTGATGTTCACTCTAGGACTCGAACCCAGTACTGTTCACTTCAAACACCATCGCCTTATCCACGAAACGCGCGTCCTGGATTCAATCGCTAGCCACTATCCATCTTTACATGTAATGCTTGTGAATTAAGGCAATACGCATAGTATGCCAATAAGAGACTGATCAATTGCAGTCCTAAACATCAGTGTAAAGATTCAAACAAACAATACCAAGTAAATTTGATAAATTAGTCTTCCCACTTGAGTTCTCAATCATTACATTTAAAGCAATTAGTCCCTTTGGTAAATTTCGATAGTGTAATAAAAAGACGAAGAGTATCAGAACTATGTGACGATATATTAGGGCAATACATTTCGAACAATCCTATCATTTATAATATACTTGTTAAGAATATTTATAAATAAAAAAACAAAAAGTCAACTAGACCAGAAATGGAGGATAAGTAGGACACAAAGATAATAAAGAAAATAATGTGAAAACAATTTGAAACCTTATCACTCTGGATAACAAGCTAGTAGTATCAGGTCACATATACATATAGAGGAGGAATCATGATCTCAAAATTAGGGGGGGTGAACATGTACCTAAATGGTTGCAGAAACAAATAGAATCAATTGATCCAATAAGAGTAGAGGGTGGTTAAACTTTCGTATGGCCAAGGCTTCAATAAATCTTGGTATACACTCTTTTACATTTTTTTTGCAATTTAATCATGCAAACAAGGCGGTAAAACTGTTTAGAAAGTGAAAGTTAATGATACACCTATTTGTTTAAATATTCAATTACATGCGTAGACTGTTTCACTCGATGATCAGAAGCAGTACCCACCAAGGGCATCACTGCTGAAACAATGGCCCGCGCCTTCGTCGAATGATGGGTAGCAAACTTCGGCTGCCCTTCAACCATCACTACAGATCGCGGACGCCAGTTCGAATCTGGACTTTTCCGTTGTCTGACCACACTACTAGGAATCACTCGCTTTCGAACGACCGCCTATCACCCACAAACAAACGGGTTGGTAGAACGCTTTCACTGACAACTAAAAGCTTCATTATCAGCTGCAAATATTTCTCAGTGGATCGACGCTCTTCTACTCGTCTTACTAGGTATTCGCGATGCAGTGAAAGCTGACATTGGATACACTGCAGCTCAGCTCGTTTATGGAACGACACTTCAACTTCCAGAAGAATTCGTGGATCCTTCATCTTCTTCAATGAACATGGATCTAACCACCTACACGAACAGGCTTACAAACGCAATGCGTTCAGTTAAACCTGTTTCCGCAATCAATTGATGTTTTCGTTTAACCCAACTTACGATATAGTACACACGTCTTCGTTCGTTGAGACTCATATCGACGACCTCTCGAATCAGCATACAAAGGACCTGTCAAAGTTGTTCAACGCGAATCCAAGTACTATATAATCGATAAGAACAGAACCAACGATAACATCACCATCGATCACCTCAAAGCAGCGTATTTAAAAGGAAATCCTATTCGCGTCGATTTTCCTACGATACAATCGAACGACACGACTCCGACACTTATAATATCTCATTCGACAGCCAACGCGCACGATGATACTTCGGCAGTATCAGAAAAAAAACTTAAAACAACACATTCTGGAAGAACAGTAAGATTTCCAGAACATTTGAACGATTATTGCACGTAAGATACTACTTGACATTTTATATCATCTCGATTTCTCTTTGTACTATGCGTAATATAAAAAACAACAATTTTAATATGCTTATATGTTTATATTTTTATTCCAAAAACACCATTTTGTAAAAATCCTTTATTCGCCCGCTTTGTGTTTTTACGCACGTACGAGTGTATTTCAACATGCCCTTACATATTTATTTTTTTTCCAGAACGTCTGGAAAAGACGATAAAAAGAACGATGAAGTTTACGATCAACCGAAAATTTCATTGTACCTTTTTTATTATTATATTGTACTACATGGTCCCTAATAGTAAGGAAAGACGACCAGACACTGCTAAACCTAGTAAGCTATCAGAAGAGTGTTTACCAACGACACAATTCGTTGGGTTTAAACTTCTGGTTGGCCACGTCTTAGGGTTATCACTACCCCACTAGGGGGAGGGGAGTGATCTGTAGCGGTAAATAAATTCCCAAAATAAATAGCTCTGTAAGTTTTCGACATTTGATGTTGACCACATTAGTTTTAATGGACTCACCTAGTTGAAGGAGCTTGGTCATGCATTTGCACCAGATCACGAGTGGGAACGCCGTGCTCAACATCCCTTTCAATCATTAGACAGCCTAGACCAGTCGATCCTCGATATATTGACAGCCTATTAAATATATCTTAGAACTTCCTCGCTTCTGTCTTTTGATTTCACTTGGTGGGTACAATTCATAGTAGATGTTACTGGTTAATGCGTTGTCAAGCTCCAAATACCTGTGGCATCTTTACTTACATAACTGAAATTTCACTAACTAATCATGATTGTAATTAAAATGAATTGGTTAACTTGAATTACAATTAATATTGGTGAGACTATAATTTATGAACGACCTTTGAGCGACGCTTGACTGACCTTGAGAGTGTTCACCTAATAACCACAACCAAATGAGTGTTATAAACCTGTGTGGGTAATTAGAATTATGATTTACAGTTGGTGATTAAGATTAGGAATCAGATATAGGGTTTTCATAACGAACTGATATCAGCTATAATGTCAAAACTCTATTTATCCAATTGAAGGAATTAATTTCGCAACATGATTCAAGATCTGTTATCCATAAATTATAGTCTCTTATCAAGATTCGTTTACAAATGATAATAATTATGACTTACAAACCTAATGCTCCAGCAGAAAATGCTTTCAAATCTTCACTTGGATCATTTAACAGAGAAACTAATGCAGGAATTGTTTCATTATCCAAAGCTTCTTGTTTACCTCTTAGATTTACACTATGATTTAAATATAAAAATATATATATATTTACACTGAGATAATGAAGATTTGTAACTCACGTGGATGATTTTAATGGAGCTTCACGACCAAACCATCCAGCTCACAGAACAAAACTCCATCAGTATATATATATATATATATATATATATATATATATATATATATTACTATTAGAATGAATTCAAATTACATTTCAAACAATAATCTTTCTCAGTTCAGGGGTTGTGGAGATTGTTAAGTTTTTGATTGAGATCATGAACCGATTGGTGTTATACCACCATTGAAAACCTGGAAGCACTGGACGGCCGTTTCGTCCTATTGTGGGACTCCTCAGCAGTGCGTATCCACTATCCCGCTCGCGGGATTCGAACCCATACTAGAACGAAACGGTCGTCCAGTGCTTCCAGGTTTTCCATAGTGGTTTAGCTTCAATTGACTCATGATTTCAACTAGTGAAATTTCTAAAATCTCCACTAAACCCCTTCTGAAACGTAATTGTTTAATGTACAGTCTATTACAATTATTGAAGTCATGAAACAATCTAAACCGAATAATCGTTTAAAAGCTAAAAGCACTAGACAGACGTTTCACCTACGTATGATACTCCTTAGTATTGGGTATCCAAAGCCCCACTACTGTGGGCCTACACAACCTCTATACTGGTAATTATTATGTGCTAACTGATGGATAGTTTCGAAACGAAATTCCCATAGTTTTAGTAAGAAACCATGACAATGAGTCTAAAGATTCTGGGTTCGATTCCTGACAATGGGATTGTAAATATCCACTGCGAAGGTCCAATAATAGAATGGAATAGCTATTCAGTGCTATTAGGATTTCAATGTTTGTTTAACTTAGGTATATGATCTCAATAACATATAAAAAACCTCCACAAACTCCTTACTGATACTTTGATATTCTTGTGTCAAATTCAACATACATTTGACGGAATACAGTTGTTTTATGATATACCTCGTTATTTGTGCATACTTACCAATCGATTTGTAGTATTATCACTTTTGTTATATTATTGATGACCTGTTTGAATATTTAGGTTATCTGTTTGCTTTGCTTTAGATATTTCAACAAGCTATCTGTTTTCTTGTTCAATTTAACACATCCTTATGCCTATTAATTGCATAAACTATTCAGATGTGTTTCTGAAAAGTTTACAAACTTTCACTGTACAAGTTACAAAAAATCCTAATCAGAGACATCGTGATTGCTGGTAATAGGCAGCGAAAAAAAAATGAACATTATTCAGATGTTGATTCCTGAACTGCTAACATCTAACTGGAGATTATCAGGATCGATCAAGAAATAAGAAATGGAAGCTTGTTGAAATAATTTATGTTGAGAATTTTATATTATAGCAAAAAAATAATATTGAATAGAGCCATTAATAATAATAATAAGTATGAACTGGAATCATGAGCAAATATGGAAATTCGAACAAATTTCTGAACTGACTCAAAGAATTCCTTCCTTTCCTAAACTGTCTATTTCATCACATAATAAGCGCTTCACATAAAACATTTGGTGCTGTTTATCTGTAGTAATATAAAATTAAGTACAGTATATTTTACTTATGCAGAGTGTCTCATATGAACCAAATAATTCTAAGAAAACCAACTCTTGCTCGTCACTGGTTTCATAAGAGGCTGTTATAAAATCAATTCCAATGATATCTTAGTTAAATGCTTGGAATGCGGTGTTGCTATCAGCAACATCCTAAGAATTGTTTATAAAATTCATGAGAAAATCAATAAACTGAATTGAGGAGGAAAACAAATCACATAAAGTGTTGTACTCCCCTTCTAGCCTGTGATAGCTACTTAATACTTAACTCACTCACGCCTGTTACCTCTCGTGGAAGAGCATAGGCCACCCACCAGCATTTTCCATTCAACTCTGTCCTATAAATCCTTTCCAGTCGTTTCTAGTTATTATTCATCCTTTTCGTTTTTGCTTCCGATTCTCGATGTAGTGTCTTTTGGCCTTTCTTTTTTCGGTTTACCTTCAGAATTCCAAGTTAGTGCTCGCTTCATGAAGCAGTTTGGTGATTTTCGAAATTTATGTCTTGTTCACTTCCAGTGTCTTGTCCTAATTTCCTCTTCATCTGAAAGCTGGTTTGTTCTCTCTCACGGGAGGTTGTTGTTGATGATATCCGGTCAGCGGACATTTAGTTTCTTACGTAGACAATTGTTTATAAATATTTATACTCTTTTGGTGATGGTTGTGGTAGTTTTCCGCGTTTCAGTTCCGTACAGCAGGACTATTTTGACGTTCGTATTGAAGATTCTCACTTTGATATTGGTTGACAGTTGTTTTGAGCTCCATATGTTCATCGACCATAGTGATGCTGCCATTATCTTTCCGATCCTCACCTTTACTTTGGTATCCGGTCCTTATTGTTCACCGATGATGCTACCCAAGCGCGTGAATGTTTCCATTTCTTCCAAAGTTTATCCATCAAGTGTGATTGCATTGGTGTTCTTAGTGTTGTATTTGAGATTCTTGCTTTCTCTCTTGTGCATGTTTAGGTCTACTGATGCAAAGGTTACTGTTACACTAGTTGTCTTGACCTGAATTTGTTGCTGTGTATGAGACAGAAGGACAAGTCATCATCCTGATTTGTAGGGGTCTTGATAATCCAGTAAACCACCAGAAGAAAAAGAAAGGGGGAGAGCAAGCCTAACTCTTCTCTTTTACTCGGGCTTTGAACCGGCAGTAACTCTAGAAAAGCTACATGTGGAGTTTTGATATTTGCCTAGTGTGTTGTTAACCCTAAACCTATTTGGTCCTCTGGCCTCGGATGGTTTTACATAAACTATCCAAAGAAATATCCATATGGATTCAACAGATCCGTTTGTGATCACGCTTAATGGAAGTCAGCGATAAAACTAAAGCATACGTTCCCTTCTAGTGTGCTGGTTATTTCACAAAATGACTTACTGCACTGAACATGCGTTTCTGAATACTACACTTATTTTCTATTTAAAAATGTCAAGATCATCTCTAAATGCTGTGAGTTCAATATGAATACGTGCATATAATTGGTGTTTATTATTGAGGATATTAATTCTCATTGATTGATTAAAATATTTCAAAAGTGAAGTTTTTTTATGCCAGCTATCTTGTTTTAGTTAAAGCGACAGTTTAATAGGTTTAATGTACCAATTATTTTACTTTCATTTTGTTAGTGTTCGATGAAATCCTTCCGCAAAACAAAACAATCAGCTGTATGCCACAAAGCCATAGGATTAATCTATTCCCTACTTGTTAAAAAAGCACATAAATTAATTCTGCAATTTTATGCAGTAATGAATTAGGCCAAGCTTATGGCCTTCAGCTAGGAAAACAGAGCGATATTTATATATATTGTATACTAAATACAACTGAATTTATTATTCACAAACAAGTGAGCGTCATAGCACAAAATATCTGATCTATGGTGGTATCAAAAGACGCGTGATAATTACAGAAATACGTAAATATAAGATAATCGGTTGTTATACGTAAAGTTAGTCTACATGATAAAAACCGATAACTACTTTTTGTCAAATAACTTTTAATGAAAATAATATGTACTGTGCGTGACACACAATTTCATTGCAGTGATTTAAATCGATTAAAGATATCAAAAAGTATACTTCAGAAAACATTAAAGCACTTACCATAAACGCAAAATATTTTGAGCTGCGCGTGTTCTGATTTCTGTGTTTGAATGAGTGAGAAGTTTAGTAAACAGTGGTATCCCGCCGGCGTTTAGTCCTTCTTCGGTTTCAAAACTGAAGCAGTGATATAAAGTGTTCAATACAATAATCTAGATTTAGAGGAATAAACATTATTAAAATATACTAACCTTAATTTCATCCACTTCTTTCTCAACACATCTCACTAATAAGTCAATGTATTTTGCTTCAATGACTGCCTGTACACCTGTTAAATTCGTGGTCAAAAGTTCGATAGCTCTGTGCGTATTTAGTCTGATTATATCGGGTTGGTTAAAATCTAGAAGAGGCTCGAAAGACTCCAAAATATTGTGCCTCAACGTAGCGGTTCGACCTATTGCGTGTTCTATTTTGAAAATGAAAATTATTTCACAACCTACGGCAGATGATTACAAAACATTCTGTTGAATATCCCCTACAAGGTATGTCGGGGTCTTTTAGCAAAAAGCTCAACGAACAAATAGTGCCTATATAAAGTAGTTTAACGGGAAAGTAAGGCGACAGTATTACCTTCATTAATTGCTTCTTCAATATGCTCAGGATCATGCAAATAATCACATAAAGCTTTAACAGCGCGTTGGCGTGTTACTAGATCCGTATCTTTCAATTCTCTATTCTTTTAAATGTTAATAAAAGTTAAATTGCTAACAAACAGTGCATACGGATATTGCTTGATAAAAAGTAAGTGGTATGCATGAATTTATTAAATCAGGACAGAATTTTTCAAATTAGATGAAAATTAGTTAACTGAGTGAAATTATTTCATACTTTACATCTAAATTCATTTAGCTCTATAATGAACATTTCGAGGATTCTTTTCCACAACCTTAAGGGTAATATAAATATCAATCATATAACGATGATAAACAGCGGTAAAGATGTTTGATTCTAGCAGAAATTGAAACTGGAGGAAGGGTGGATAACTAAAATTCTTTACGTGATCGCAATCGAAATTAACAAACTAAATCAAATTCCTGCTCTGAGTTTTATTCCATCATATGAATTGAACCTATAAAAATCAAACTGATCCTACTTCTATACTGCTGATTGAGTTCAATACTGCGCACTTACAAGTTCTTGTATACTTCCGCATGATTTGGAAAGGCTTAATTTCCGCTTCCCCACTAGTTACGAGTCTCAAGAAGCATTTGATTTAACAATCACAACCCAATTTAGCCCTTAACAGAACTTCATTTTACAATTTTATCAGTAGTCGGCAAGCTGATATTTACGTTTTGTAAATTTTTAAACAACAAGTAAAACATGCAGATTCTATAGTTGGAGATTAAAAATGTTTGTGACTAAGTCAACAAAGATTATATGAATACAAAATTTGACTATCAAGCAGTCGGTCGCTCCAAATAGTTAAGGATTACCCACCTCCATGTTTTTAAAGGCAGCTATTCTAAACACTGAATGGTCTTAAATTCAAACTGGAACGTTTTTGGAATCCATTATACAGTCGTAGATTGGATAAGTAACTTTCTTCATTACAGGAGACAAAAGGTAAAGGTTAGTGGAGCTCTATTCTTGTTGGTACCCGTAAAAAGTGGAGTTCTTCAAGGTACAACCCTCGGTCCTCTTTTCTTTTTACTTTATGTAAATTAATTGCCAACTGTAGGAAAATCGTCCGTCCTACTCTTCGCTGACGACATAAAGATTTGGAGACCCATACACAGTATGTCGGATAGAATAGTATTACAGGATGATCTTAGCTCATTGGTGGCATGGTTGGACAGACGGTCACTAGAAGAAAATCCTTATAAGAGTGTGGCGATGCAATAAATAACTATGATGATTCGTATCACTACACAATATGTGGATTCGTGTTACCCAAAGTTAGAAACTATAAAGATTTAAGAGTAATATTAAGCAGAGATCTCAAAACCACCAGTCACTGTAAGGCTGCTGCTGCTGCTGCAAAAGGCTATAGGTTGCTAGGGTGTATTTGTAAGTCTTTCCAGTATTTAGATGACGAATTGATTAAATTATTGTACCCGATTTACGTGCAACCACATTTGGAATATGGGTTTCATGCAGCGAGTTTCAAGCATGAAACAGATAGGCTGGAAAGAGTCCAACGACGAGGTACTAAGATGGTACAAGGTCTATCTGGCCTATCTTATGAAGACAGACTGAGACACCTCAACTTATTTCCGTTATATTATTGTAGAATACGGAGTGATCTAATATTGGTTTATCGTATACTGAACAATGACCTTGGTATTAACATGTCTTATCGTTTACTTCTATCTAAGACTGATAATTTCAGTCAGTCAGTCAGTCAGTATCAACGTAGAACTTCGTACGTACGTACATCAGTTCGAGTTGCCACACCACATTAGCACAGAGATGCAGTTGTCCATTCAAATCCCATAGTGGTAGAGGTAGCAAGAGTATAAGCAGTAATCGGGAAGATTAGGGTTTGGAGATGTTATTTATAGAGTATAATCCAGTGAAATAAATTTGGAAAGAGGAAAAAAGGGACATGAAGAATTCAGAAGATTAGAATTTGAGAGAACACAGAGAGTGGATGCACCTGCGCCATTGCAAACGATTTTGAGCCATGTCATTCAGGGTCTCTAACCATCGGTTGCTATCATCTCGCGGTCCCCAACCAGGTAGTCTACACCTACCAACATGACTCAGTTCACTTGTCAGTGACTTCATGGACTTGTGCCATGTTTTGGTTTGGCCGCCCCTAGCTTTCTTCCAACCTACTCCTATACCACTGAACATAGCACGTCGAGGCAGTCGGTCCTTGGGCATACGTAACACGTGTCCCAGCCATCTCAACTGATGAAGTTTCACTACGTCATCAATTGATTTGCCATCCTTACCTAGTACCCGTTTTCTAACAACTGTGTTACTTAATCGATGGTCCCATGATATACGAGCAATGTTTCGAAGACACCTATGATCAAATACTAGTAGCTTACGGATATCCTCTACTCTTACCGGCCATGTTTCACTGCCATAAAGTAGGACGGAACGAACTGCTGCACAGTAAACACGTCCTTTGGTTGATAGACGGATATCTCGCCTACGCCATAAATGACGCAAGTTGGCAAAAGCTAGTCGAGCCTTCTGTATCCGTGCTGAGATTTCGTCACACACCAGACCACAAGGGCTGATCAGACTTCCAAGATAAGTGAAGCGGTCGACACACTCAACTACTTCACTCCCTATCACTAGTTCGGGTGTCGATGTAACCCAATCCTGAAGCAACATTTTGCATTTCGAGGGAGAGAATCTCATCCCGAACATGCTTGCATTGTTGCTTAGAGTGGTCAGAAGACTCTGCATTTTGTCAGCGTCTTCACCAAATAAAACTATGTCATCAGCATATTCTAAGTCAACAATTGAACCTCCCGGTAGAAGTTCAACCCCTGGAAATCTAGATGAGGAAAGTGTTATCTCTAGAAGTATGTCCACGACAAAGTTGAACAAGAATGGGGAGAGTGGACAGCCCTGACGAACACCACTTGAGGTAATCAATTCTGATGACAGTTCGCCATAAGCTCTCACTCTACCAGTTGTGTTCGAGTAGAGAGCCTTTATAAGGTTAATGTACTTCTTTGGTACTCCTTTCAGTGACAAACACTGCCATAGAACCTCACGATCAACAGAGTCGAATGCCGCCTTAAGGTCGAGAAATACTACCATTGTGGGGCGTCTGAATGTGTGTCTGTGTTCTAGAACCTGACGTAGTGTGAATATCTGATCTATACAACCACGTCCAGGTCGAAAACCAGCCTGATTTTCTCTAGTCTGCTCTTCACGAGCTTTGATTAGGCGTCGAAGTATTATTGAAGCTAATATTTTAGACACTATATTAGTCAAACTGATTCCTCTGTGATTGTCACAAGAGGACTTTTGTCCTTTCTTATAGACTGGCACAATCAGTGATTGAGACCAGTCAGATGGGATTACGTCCAGTTCCCAAATTCTACTTAAGACCTCGGTTAATCTCATTGCTAATACTGGACCACCATCCTTAAAAATCTCAGGAGTAAACCTGTCAGGGCCTGCTGCTTTCCCTCGTTTCAGATTTCCTATGGCTTTTTCAACTTCGTAAAAAGTCGGAGGACCTACATTAACTTGCCATTCAGGTTGACTAGAGATCGTGGGAAACCGAAGTGTGGCTGAAGGCCAGTTGAACTGATCCCTAAAGTGTTCTGCCCATCGATCCAATCTCCTGGATTGAGAATGAATAATATGTCCATCTTTCTCTGAGATTGTTTCGCTAACGGTCGGGTTCCTAATTCCGGTTTCCTTAACGAGTCTGAACAATTGTCTGCTATTACCTATTGTTTACATCTGGAGTTTCATTCCTCGCACCGAGTATTGAATTACCGGAATTCTTTATCGGAACACATAATATCAACATTTTCTGTTCATATATTCATAACGGGATTGGACCTCCGTAGTGTTACAAACTGCAAGGATTAATATAGGTCAATAACCTCTTATCTTTATTACTGAAGGCTGGTATGGTATAGAAAACCACAAAAGTATCTGTGAACTCAAACTTCCAAATCCTACAAAACAAACCAACGGTCTTTTCGAAATGTACATGAACGAACTAAGTTAAGAGGCATTTAACAATAAAACCAAGAGCACGCGTTTTTCAGTGTTCTAGGCTTATCATCTAAGTGTGTCTAAGAGAAAATCCAAACGTCTTGAACAAGCATAGATGAAAAAGGAACGCAAATTTGTTTCAAACTACAGGGCAGACAGCTCAAATCAACGACGCAAACGTTTTTGCGTATATATATATATATATATATATATATATATATATATATATATATATATATATATATATATAGTAAAAACAGTAATAATAGAAGTAAAGGCCTAAGTCAAAAACCTGTTATCTCATATCTGATTGATTCGTACCAAAATGATATTCTCGCCATAAATCCCCAAACACCTAAATGTCCTTTACGAAGCCTAATAATCTACTCTCCCATCATCATGACCTAATCCACTTTACAATATCTCGTACAGAAGAATTGTTTTGGTTGGTCTATATAGATATGGGAATGCAAACATTATCCAATAGGAATATTGAGTATTGAAACGTACAATTCTTTTTATGGCTAACCTCCCGTAGGCTAAAGTGGCTTTCGTTGGATCAACGTTTGGAGGAGGTTTCAAACTTATTATCGCCAATGCCATTTTGATTGTTCGCCACAGAAAACCATGGTGAGAATGTAAAAACATTCAGTATCCAATATCCAATAAATCAATGTACTTGTAACAAGCTTCAAATCTAACATCTTTTTCACTAGCTTATACAAACCGAGTGACTTCCTTCACCCCGCTTATTGTTGTTCTTGTACAGTTCCATGTATTTTATTTTGTCCAGACGGTTGTAGTCTGACCATTTGACTGCACTAATTATAATCAATGTGGTGGTTATTTGTGGATTTGTATACTATGTACTTGGGTGAGTGCATTTGACTCACCATAGCACGATTTCCGGATACCAGCAGGCATCACATTACCAGGTGGCTGTTTTGTTCCTTGTCTTGAGGTATATTGTGTTGGTAGGCATTCTGAATGGTGTCTCCTACTACCTCCCAGTCAGTCATCTTCTATTGACCTCCAACACTTTCGTGGCCCTGAAGAGTGTGGAAGGTGCTCCCTCATCGTCGTCCAGTTTGCCTCAGTATAGCTATGGTAGGGAACACTGTCTTCTCTCCCCATTATTTATTTTGTGACTACGTTAAACATGACTGTACCATGGCAGCAACTCCCTGTTTTTGAGAGGACATGGATATGTTCAAAAAGAACTTGATCCGTTGTCAGCAAATAATCAAAGTTCGTTGGTTTCCCGCACTTGTCCCATCTTGTGGAGCCACCGACATATCCAGTTAGCCCTGAACTTCTCATGGCTGGGCAAGTCGCCTATGGAACGACTATGTGGGTGTTACATCCTGCTAGCTGAGGCATACAGATGAAGTATTGAGTCCTCCAGCTAGCGGCGTTTGGTCAAGACATAAGTGTGATAAGTTTAGCATCACCTGTATTACCTCATCCTGTCGGGTGTCAAAAGCTGTTAGTGACCTCCAAACCAGTACTCTGTGAGGTTCAATATGAAGCATCAACAGTATGCTTCTGTCACCTCGTTTATTTCGGTACAGTGTAGCGTTGTGACTTTGAAGTGACCTTTAATGTATACTACCACTTCGCCTCCTGCTTTCGTGAACTTAGCTTATCTGTAATGCATCATACCTTGTAAAGTTTTTTCTTCAATAAGGATGCCAGAAGATAGCAATGTTTCAGTAAGGAATAAGATTTTCACACCTAAATAAAAGCATGTTTCTGGTTTCTTCTAGTATACGTTTTAGTCTTCTTGCATTGCTGTAGAAGAACATGATGGTTTCGCCTGTGACGACGTCCGTCAATAGCAGCATCTGTCCTCTGACTTTTAAGCAGACTGTTGTTTACAGCGAGTACCTCAGTCCCCAGAGATCTAGCTGCTTTGGGTTTTATGTCTCTACACCGCGTGCCACTAGCGAGAATGTTGTCCCTGTGTTCTTTACTGTGAGTTGAACATAAATGTCAAAAGACACCAGGGTTTGCCTGACGGGATGTTTGGTTGTTGCTTTATTGAACTAATCCTCATAATGTGAGAGCAAAGGCCATTAATACAATTAAAACAAGTTTAAAGGGGGTGAGCTAAGTTCATCCTTTTCCGAAAATTAAAGTCTATCAAAACCGAAAAATGGATGTCGTTAGGTGAAAAGGACTAAATAACATGAACATGATAATAGTCAAAGCACAATGACGACCTGTGCTACGTGGTAGCAAACACTACTGTTGTATACCTTTTTTCATAGGCCTTATCCCCACTACCAATTTCTAGCTCAGCCACTGCATTTTCGACGGCACATTGTACAGCATTTAATCCACTGTTCTTTATCAAATGCTTCCCTACTATCCAAAAAAGTAATCTGCAATCCTGGGACATTCAGTGAGACCAGGTAGGTTTGTCTAAATTATTTATCCCCCGTTTTCAGTGCATTGGGTGCTATGCTGTTACCACTTGCCTTCTAGATGCCCAAACAATGTTCCTTACTGTTAGCAGATACTGAGATATTAACAACAGTCAGTAATTTCGTCGGTTTATACGCTTGTTTTGTGACTCTTATGGTCACATATTTGGTCGATCCTGTGTTTGACAATTTAGATACACTGGTAGGGATAGCTGTAACTGCTTCCAGTAGGCTATTATGATTCGTTTTCTTTGGTTCTGTTAGCGTACTTTTCTACACGATTGGCGAACATACTAGGACCACTGACAGGGGTAATTAAACATGAACCTGTAGTACTACCTAGGTACCGCAGTATTCCATTTCTCCTATATCTCTTATGCTTACTAGTTTTACTAAGGGTAGGGACCTGGGTAGAAGTGTGGTCTGGATTACTTAGTTGGAGATTCATTTTTAATGTTTGAGTTTAGTGGACCATATTCTACACACTTCTCTGAGATTCTTTATCCCGTGTCGTCTTGCTGTTCCTTATAATCATGTAGCTAGAAACGAATATATTCGCCTTATTATGAACCTCTGAATTCAGACCTCTACCTCTGTTAGTCGTCCCTCTAGTTATAGTCTAAGTACTGGTGGCAACACCATTGCTTTTCAAGTTCCTCAATAGGCCATAGGGTGAAACACGAGATAATGTAAAAAGAAAGTACGCTTCCCAAAAGAAAAATAATAGAGATAAGTGAATATGTGCTACACAAGAATAAAAGTTGAAAGACACTTGAAATTGCTACGTTACCTTTGATTGTCCTGGCAAGTAACTTCACTTGGGTCCGGCAACTTATTCACAAGTCCTATGTTAGCAAGAAAGTGGATGTGCATGTTGCATTCGAAGCAACTGGTAAGACAGAAGTTCATCGAGATGGCCAAACCTAACGTAGAGTGGCTTAATATTGGTATAATTGTGGTTGTCAGACCTATTATTGAGGTTGTTTACCAGTAACATGAAGACTTTGTCAGTATTTCCATTAGTATTTAAATATTTCAAAATGGTAGTGGAAGTAGATAGTTCGGGTCGTTGGTTAGAGATCAGCGAGTTCGCATCGAATTCGGAGTGCGTGTGTGTTTCTATAGGCTGATTGATTTACTTGCGCTCGCTTTCTGCTGCTACAGTACGATTCCAGATGTTTTGCAGTGTCTACTTGACTGAACTGATTCTAGCCAGTTTGGTGGTTATCGCTGAATTTGTTTGTCTTGTGATCCGAGTGAGTGTGTTTGTTTCAAAGCAGCAGGATTTCTGGATACCAGAAACTATCATATCGCCAGGTAGGAGGTCGGTGTCTGCAGTGTGAAAGTAATAAACAGAAAATCCGAAGACCTAGAGAAGACGATTGTTTTAAAAAGTGAGTAAATAAATAAGTACGTGCATTGACTACTAGTCAAGATAGTGTGGTGATCTGATAGTGTAGAAGCAGGATGGAAAACGATGACGATAATAAGCGAGATATGAATAAGTCGCTGGTATCTGGTAGTGATAACAGTGGATAAATTGCAGATGGGTGGATAATCAATGTTCTTTGATCTATTTAAAAGTTTGCACTCCACTGGATTTGAATAATAGTTGTCTGACACCACAGCCTACGTCAGAATCACACCTTAAGAATGAAAGTTAACCTGCTTTACCCTTTCACGATGTATTGTACTGTTGCTACTTTGATGTTCGCTTGAAGCAAACATGATGTCACCGAGGAAATGTATCGGAAAATCAAGTTACAGTTCATCCACTGCCGCGTGATTCAGTCCATGGCGTGCAAGTGATTAATTCACGTTCATCATCCATGCGTTAGAACACGTTGGTCATGTCTCCACATAAATCCATTAACTGAGGAGTCTGTAGTCACTTCGGTCGGAGGTAAAATTCAAAGACTAAGAAAAGACGATTGCTCGAAGAGGCGAAAAATTGATTCGCTAATTATTAATGTAGACAGAGTGAGGAGACGGAAATGTAGAAATAAGCAAGACTGAAATAAATTAATGATACGTGATAATTGCAAAATAAGGTTAGTTACGAGACATCCATCAGGCAATGTGTTGTCAATAGCCTTACAATTCATAGTCAGGTAAACAGCTCGAGTGAACAGAAGATTGCAAGCACTGTTTCCTGTAAGGTGTTTCTCCCAAAACACCAGCTGATGTGTCCTCAATGACTATAATAATTATCTCCCAACTTCCCAGGAGCTCAGCATATTTGTGCAGATTTAACTTATTGCTCAATGTTCTGAACTGAAATATTAGTGAAAATGCCCTGACCTACGTTAAGCATTTAATTTATGCGAAGTCGTTACTTGTGGTACCCAATGTTTCACGATTTGGTTAGTTACTTAATAACATGATCATTTGTAACGCTACGGATTTTTAAGAACTGACAGAAGAGGGTTTTCTTTACACTAATTATGAATGAATAATTTGTTAGGGTTGAAGCTTCACGAGTTCACTTAACTGCGAACGAGAACAATACTCAGTGACCAAAGACCAGTAATCTAACTATTGATGCGTCCCAGCCCCGCTATCTAGAGGGAGAAGTCCAGGCTTGGTATGGAAAATATATTCTGCAAACGGCCAGAGAACTAGCGAGCAAGCAAGCGAACACTCAAACACAATTTAAAACATATATATATAATCGATATTGTCATATTAAAATGTTTTTTAAACATGACTCATTCAGTTCACCAATCGACCGGCATTCAAATATTTAATCGATAAGTTAATCGATATGATAAAATTACAAATATGAATTTTGGGGATATACCGTCCCCAACATAATTAGACTGAAATCTCGTACCCAATTAAAAAAATACTCCTTATTTTATCGCGTGATGTTTGGACACCTGTTGATCCTCGTTAAGTACTTTGTGTCTGCACATATTTTTCCTCGTTTGTTTGTCAACCGCTCCTTCCATTATCTCTTACAGTATTGGAAGTAATGCATTCGGTCTACAGTAGATTGAGTCTTTCTCATATACTCACCCGAATTCTGGAGACAGTGCATTTTGTTGTTAATTGTTAGGATCTTGGTGAATCCCTGAGTAAATAATACACCTATAAACTCATAGCTTTCGTGCACTGTTCAGGGATTATGCAATAATCTTGATTTCATTGCATGTTTTTTGGATGCCTGTTGATAAA